GGTCTGCTAATGGCAACGGCGAGCTAATTAGCTGGACTCGGGAGGGAGGGGGGGTGGGGGGGCAGTTGTTAAATGAAGAGGAGGGCGGTTGAACCTTTTTTTTTTTTTAAACAAAACAAAAAACAGAGTCACTAATTAGCAACCTGCCTTCTTTTTCTGCTTCCTCTCCAAAGCACTCACCTGCTTTGCCGAGCTCCTCCTTCACCTTCATGCCGCGCTCCTCCCCACAGGCTCTGCCCCCTCTCCTCAGCTCGATGAAGCCCGGCCCCAGCCCTGCGTTGGCGACGCGACACTGTGCCCGGTTGGCAGGTGAGGGGGGCGTGGCATTGGCATTTGAGGCTTGGTTTCGCGAGCGGCAGCCGCCCTGTTTGTGCTGGATGAACGCCAGGATGTGGGCGAGGGGGAAGGCCCTGCTGCACTGGCCACAGGTCAGGAGGTCACGACCCTCGTCTGGAGCTTGGGCCTGTGGAGGAGGAAGAGGAGGAGGAGGCTGGTTGTCTGATGAAGTGGTGCCATCCGGTATGTCAGTGACATCTGAGGAACATGACAGGAGGGAGAGGGAAGAGAGAAAGTTCAATTACTTGCAGAGATTAAACTCTTTCTACTTACTTTGAATACATAACAGAGAAAATGACGTGTCTCACAAAGACAGACGCACAAGGTCACTGCACAGGGACTTAAACGCAGTGTTGAAAACAGAAATAAAGAAGAATATATCTAATTAAGCTTCATTTTTAAGATAAATGTTGCAGGTTCCAGCTTCCCAACTGTGAACATTATCTGGTTTCCTTCGTCTCCTATGACATTCAAGTTAAAATCTTTGGGTTCTGGACTGTTGGTCAGACAAAACAGACATCTGGAGACATCCCCTTGGTCTCGCTGGTCATTTTTCACACTTTTCAAACATTTTACAGACCAAGCGATCAATTGGGGGAAAAAAATCTGTAGAGTCCTTGATTAGAGTTGTAATGGTACCCATATCAGTATTTGAAATGCCTCTGACGATGCCTAAAATGCTGCAAAGGGTACTGGCAAGTAAGCTAAGTTTACTGATCTGATACCACGTAATTTAATAATACACTTAAAAACAGCTTCACCTGGATAAAACAGCAGTTTCCCCAGAGATAAATTCTTCTGTGCAGCTTTAAACAGTAGCCTACACGGCAAGATGTCAGCAGTATTTTACACTGGGAAGTTCCACCAGTAAAAATGCAAGGTACTTTATGCAAGGCTTTAGTTTCTGGGTTAGTGGTATACAGCTAGTTTTCTTTAACGCAATGGTATCAGTACTCGGTATTGGCTGATAACCAAGTTTAGCTACCGGATTACGTATCTGAAAGGTAAAAATGGTATCGAAAGATCTCTATCATTGAGACAATTCCATTTTATCCAGTAATTTTCAGCCTTTTCTTTCTATAATCGATGGGTGGAAACCATCTTTTGCATGGAGCACATAACAGGCAATGGTCCCTAGTTAGAGTAGTTTCTCTAAAGCATTTTTACTTGCAGCCACAAAGAGAAAACACTTGACACCACTTCCACAATAGCGAGATAAATCAACCATAAACCTGAACATCCTACAAAATTAAACTTTCTCGCCCAAAAAATAAAGAAAACGCCAAAATGCGCTGATCCACACTCCCTCAGACAAGAGTCCCAGATCAATTGGATTTTGGCTCAGGAGTTTTGGCCAGTGCTTTTACAAATGAACAACCCAAAGTGGCAAAAGTGTTGTTAGACCTCAGTGGAATAACAAAACAGGCGTGGTGATTGAAAGTGCTAGTTTCAGTTGTAAGCTCTGAAGGAACGAGGCCAATCTGCTCAGTCAATACTGACCACTTCCTTTAACCAACCCAAAACAGATCCGCTCTCTGGCTGAGGCTGCTGCACAGAGACAGGAGCCCAGCTGTCCATCTCAGCGAGGACATAACTTTATATTACTGTGGCAACCGATGTGTGCGCCTGACAGGTGAAGTTATTGATTTAAAAACAACACTGTGCCAAAAACTTTCGCCTTGTGCACACAAATACAACTTGCCCCACCAGCGGCAGGCGGCGGGAGTTTCTTAACAGGAAGTGGATTGCAATAAAAAAAAAAAGACTGAAGGTGTTTGAGATAAGAGCAGCCTCTGTTTATGTGTGTGTGTGTGTGTGTGTGTGGTCAAATCCAGGACAGCTCATCTGATTCAACATGAGCACTTTGAAATTCATGCAGGCTGCAGACAGGTGAAAGCACAGGAGTGTTGTTACAGCAGTGGACACAACTTGAACCAACCCTCCTCTAAGTCTGAGTAAACTTTTCTTTAGAAAGGCTCCCAGCTCAGGCCAGGTAGGAAGAGGAGGAGGAGGAGGGGGGTCAGTATTGCTCAACGCGGTCATGGGCACACCTTGATGTCTCGACTGGATCCACCTGCCCTGGCTAGGCCGGCTAACATACAGGACAGGTACAGACAGTACAGTCTGAAGTCGGATCTCGCCAGTTGTTACTCAAAAATGTCACCTTTCCTGTTTCAGGGCTGCGCTGTTTGTGCAGACTTGCAAGGCGCGGTCACACACACACACACACACACACACACACACAGATAGAGAGAGAGAGAGACAGAGTTGAGTCAGGGCCTGTGGTCACACCAGACACGCACCACTGGTCTCCAGTAGAGAACTGTAAAAAACAAATGGTGTTCAAGTTTCTCTCTTAAAACATCCCATGTCTTTTTGTGAGCCGCTCTGTTGTCCTCATGTTTGAACAGTATGAATGGGATCAAATAAAGAGTATGAATGGGATTTATTATCTTTTTTTTTAACTGAGATCATTATTTAATTGTCCAAATTAAAAAACTTAACCAGCATGGAGCCTGAGAGTCTCGGCTTTACACATGCGGTGTCAGAAGCAGTGGAGGGAAACTGTCCAAGTCAAGCCTGAGACTTCAGAGCGAGAAATTTGATCATGGTCTAACCTGGATATATTAATCATCGTGTTCGGACCTGTAGCCTCTGAACACAGCGTGCCAACAAACCGGTCCTTCCTCTATGAGTACGAACAGCACACATCAGGACAAACATGACAAGAAAAATATCAGCTCTTATTTAAATATTTACCTGAAACGGATTATAAAACATCCACACTGGCATAATTGAGGTCAGCGTGTAAACAAAGATACTTGAAAGATACTATTTTCACATGCGTGTGAATAACATCCATCATTTGCGGTGCCAGCGCGCATCCAAACCATGCGCGCAAACTGACACAGAAACACAACTGTGACCTGGATTTTTATTCTACTTTCACCTAAAAGCATCACAGCCGTGTCCAAACAGTTTGCCCACACATCGCAGCTCCCCCCCGGCTTACCTTGAATTGCACTCAGGTGCTGCGGTCTGCTTCCAAGTTTGCGCCTGGACATCGCGTCGAGCGTTCCGCGTTTGGCACCGTCTCCGGGTCCCAAACAACAAACCCTGACAGAACAAACTAAAATCCGTCCAGCTGCTTGTTCACCGATAAGTTGACTGAAACCCGAGCTGCGGGGACGGAGTGATAAGACTGGCTGGCCTCTGCCTGGACTCGCACCGAGCAGTGAAGGCTGCGTTCAAGTTCACGCTTCTTCCCCCGCAGCGAACGGAGGGCAAAAGGGGGCATGGGCGACAGTAGGCACCGCCCGCCTCGCTCCTACGACCCTGACCCCGCCCTCCTCGGGTAACACAACACACTCTATCACTTTTAAGCTTTTTCTCTTTTACAGTTTCTCCTCTCTTTAGCTTTTACTGTCGGTTTCAATCAATGTTTTCACATCCGATAATGGGAATCCTCATTTAGTTTCTCCTCAGCACTTCAGAGGAACTACCTCGTTGGTTTCCCACAGGTGTCTCCAAAATACAACTCCAACCAGAGGAGGATTCATTTCTCCTTTTCTTATTGACCAGCTGTGATGATGTACAGAAAATAAAAACACAGCAAATTCTCAGGAAAATGCCTCAGAAGTTACAGTGACAGTGACGAGAAGCTGCAGTGAAGCATCTCTCACTGCTAAACTGGGATTTGTCGCCACCTACTGATGAAAATACACCCTGTGTGAAGATTCCAGTCAGTACATACCAATAAATGTAGCATTCTTGTGGTTAACATGTGATCAAATATCCAAGGAAGTATGAGAAATCAAATACTTGACAAAGACAATCAGGTTTTAATTTTTTAAAGTGTTTCCAGCACTGTGCTCTGCGCATGCTTTTTATTTTACTGCCTTTTTTAATGGCATTCTGCTGAGGGATAAACTCATACAAAGACCCTCTTTTAAAAAACAGAGAAGCTTTAGTGTGAATAAATGATGTGTTTAAGGCATGAAAGCCAAATGTTTAATCAAAATAACTTCACTGAAATCTCCCTCTTTGGGCACAACCTGTAACAGGGTGTCGAAAGGTATAAGACACTTGAATTTAAGACATTTTCAAGCTCATTTTTAACCAAATTTAAGCCTATTTTTTGGATAAATCACATTTTTTCTTTTTTAATCACTGCAGATAAGTGTAAAGATAAGCAGCATTTATGTTGCCCTGTTGGAAGGTAGGCTTTTTTTGTAGAAATATGGTTATTGGTCAGTGAATTAATCTACATTTTGCCAACATTTAAGTTCAAGATGGAAGTATAAAGACAGTTTAAAAGTTCAGTGGTGGGTTTAAAGATTTGTAACATCTGAAATTTGTACTTCCACGTAGAAGAGCTTGGTTCATTTTGGCATAAACAAAAAGACGGATAAATGAAATTCAATGATTGCCGCATTTAAGTTGAGGGAGAACGACTACACACACACCACATAGGTGCAAGGCTTCATCCAGTCAAAATGAGGAAGATCGCAAATTTTTTCCTCAATGCAGCAAGAGCTCACAAATTCAACCTTAAGACTGGTGACTTTTGACGCCCAATATTTATAAAACTGGATATAAGAAATTAAGACATTTTGAGGATCTGAAGACACTGTGTAAAAGCAACAGGAAAAAGAAAATGAACAATAATTTCAAAGTCAGTTTATTTCTTGTTCTGTATTTAACATTCCACATTACTGAGAACAAAAAGTTATTTACTGCTGTTAACCGGTTGGAAGAGGACAGAGTATAAAAGAGCAGTCGATGACTGAATACATTTTCTTTAACAAAGAAGTTTCCAATGGATGCATATAAATATCCTGTACATCAGCTCATGAAAGTTTAAAATGGTCTTTTAGTGTGAGCGTTCCTTGTTAGAGAAAAGTAAAAGGCTGACATGAAGACGACGCGAGGTAATAGGTGAGATATTGCTTATAGTATCATGTACTTTGAAATACAAATGTCTCCAGACGAGTTGAGAGGAAGTGTTCAGGCAGAAAAAGAAAAAAAAAGGAGCATGCAGAAGAAACTAATTTAATAAACCTGCAGTTGCTTTACAAGATGAAACAAAAATGAAAAAAAGGAGGCAGATCAAACTCAGCTTGGCTCAGCCAGTCGGCTGTGTGATTAGTGAAACTAAAAGGTACCACAGTCAAAACGTGTTATTCTGCAGACACACACCAGAGAACACAATGCTCAGGTACAGATCTGTGTCACAGTTCCTCTCTTCATATTTCCATGTGATAGGCTGTTTGTTGGACAGTGTGTGTGCATGACAACTGGGGGATATTTTCCCAAGCTCAGTATCTGTAGTATGGACTCCGTGACCGAGACCTCGACCTCCTGTGAGAAATAAAAAACAGAATCAGTATGACGGTGACAGCAGAAGAGTCTGACATCATCATAGAGAAAGAGAGCACATGTCTTTCTTGTCTGTAAAGCCTGATCTCTTAATTTTTGTTAGAAACTTAAAGCTCACAAAGAAGCATTTTGTGTGATCATAGCTAAATATAAAGACACACATTACTGATGTGAACAGCCTTGAGCAGCACCATTAAATAGCACATAACTTAGATTTAGTCAAGTGTTACTCTTGTCTATTAATAAAGACCCTAAAGTAATATTAGCATAGATCTACTGGATAAAGCTGTAGCTGGTAACACGTAGGACAATAACTTGCTGTCATATTTGCTGAAAATGTCACTATGATCTGATAAAAAGTGCATTAAAAAGATGTGAAAAATATCATGTCCCTCCTCCTCTTCCTACTGCTTCTAACTGCATTCGCTAGACTTAACGGCGGCGCACTGGAAACAAGATGAGACGAAGGGTCTCTAAAGCAGGTGTCAATCATGTCAGTCACTGCTCGTGAACTGTGGTCAAACTGTCAAACACAGGCAGCGCTGAGCAAATATGGATCAACTTTTCAGATACATGTTTTAGCTTCCTGTTTAGCTGTTCAGTGAGAAAGTCTGTGACACTGCTGTCATGTTGGAAACAACTGACTGCATCGCCCACCGGCCTGACCAGCTTTCTCATTTGAGGCGAGAAAAAGGCAATGCAGTCACAAAATCTCGATTCATATCTGACTGATTTACAGCGCTGTCTAGTGTGACAGTTTGACCACAGTTCAGCAGTGACTGACATGATGACCAACTGCAGCTGTGCTAAGATTTATAAACCATGACTTAAACCTAACTTTGATTTAAAGGTGTAATCAGTGATTCTGGAGAAAGATTGTTGATTTTTGTGCTCAACACCCAAACAAATACAGCCCTCCTGTCCGAGCCACTTTGCTTGTTCTCCATTTATGGAGCCAGGGGCCATGTATGAACACCTGATTTCTTTTTCAGTGCACTCACAGAATGGACAGCTAGCAGACCATGAGGATGACAAAAAGAGTGTATTGGATTAGAATCGCTGACTGCACCATTAAGCTACAATTTTATTTATATGCTTAATAATATTGTCTGGCAGACTGGAGCCTGAAACACTGGTTTGGTAGTTGAGTGAAGAAAAAGCGGAGTGGCTAAAGTGCTGTATATAAAGGCTGCTGCCGTGAAGGACCTCTGAGATAGTGTTTATGCATTAATGCGGAGGACTCCCATAATTCAATTCTGCTTCATCGGTGCTGTGCAGATTCTTGTGGCTTCTCACATACCTTCTGTGTGAGTTGTGCTCTCGGCCTGGAGGGACAGAGGACACAGAGACATCATCAAAACAATAGCATGACACAACATCATACTGGCTATAAAACTGTCAGAGCAGAAACTGATGCCAGCAAATCAGACGGTCACTTAGCTGATTAAATACTTTGGTTACTTTCCTTTGAGATGCAAGACTGCGCACACACAATGAACAAATTATTATTAGATTAGCTCCATATGGCTATTTGTGATCACAAACCTACAGTCTTACCATATTTGGAAGGAGAAGGCGAGTGGCTCTGTCGCCCGTACTGTCTCTCCCATTCATCCCTCTCTTTCTCACGTCTCTCACGCTCCCTAAACGCAGAGCCTCTGGTCAGACAGTTGCAACACATAAATACCAAACAATCCACTTACACACACACACACACACACACAGAGTTCTTACTTCATGCGTATCTTGCGTGCCATGGCTCGTAGCTCTCCCTCTCGCTCCTGTAAAATAAACAGCAATGAGGGGTTATAGAGGACAACAGGGCCTCTGTTTCTGCTTGGAACTCAAGTACATACACATGAAAATGCGCGCACACACACACACACACCTGTCGTTTGTGTTCCTGCTGCTGGATCTTCACCTGAGCAGCTTTTTTATCCGCCTTGGCTGCAGGACGGGAAAAACCAGAGAAAATTGGGGGAGAAAAAAAGAAAACCTTTAAAATTTGCATATTGAACCTAACGCACATGAGCTAGATCTGAACTTGTTCACGATTCAGGTTTGTGCTGTTTCTTCACTTGTACACAAACCACAGGCAATCTCCTCTGCTGTACTCACACTGCTTGTTGAGCGCCTTCTGCATTCGTAGCTTGAGCCGCTCCTGTGGGGTCATCTTGGGCTGCAGGTGACACAATCGTGTTAGCACATCCTTTCACAGCCTGACAGAAGTGTTTGTGTGCGTGTGTTTGTGTGTGTAAGGAAGAGATCAAAGGCACTGTGCTGTCATACAATTTTGGCATTATCATCTTTATGTACAGTAGCTGGTGGAGATAAAAAGGCTGCAGATAAATTAATTATGTGTGATGTTTGTTGAGTCAACAAGCACACTTGAATATTACTGAACAGGCTGTGTGTGTGTGTGTGTGTGTGTGTGTGTGTGAGGACAGAGGCAAACTGCTGCTGTAGTTTAGAGGCATGACAGGAGCTCGAGTCACATGAACCTTCACACTTAAATATACCTGTATGGACGAACACTGTCAGACAGATAAAAGGGGGAGTAGGATGGCAGGAGAGGGATAGAAGGTTGTAAAGTGTAACATGGGCAAGTTCAGGTCCGATGAGATCATAAAGTTCAGAAAGAGCCAGTGGCATTTTGTTACAGACACACCCATCACTGGGCCGTTTAAACCTGGCCAGGCAAGAAAAACTGCAGGTCACAACACTGCAGAGAAGATTATAACTTCCACTCTACTTGTCTGTCTGACTGTTAGAGGATATTCAAATTTTGTTCTTGTTTGCCAGAATATGCAGCGAGAGCAGAAGCTGGTTCAGGACAGTAAACAGTTCAGGAGGTTAGAAACAAATAAAGGGACAGTTTGAGATCTGGGGAAATATGCTTGCTCACTCTCCTGCAGACAGTTAAGCCCATCTCAGACCAAAGATCTGCGACGAGATGAAACGGCTTTGGAGCACTGCAGGGGAAAGTTGCAGTGGTGTGAACTGGCCCGTTCACAGCCGTTGACACTTATGTCAGTCTCTGTCTTCATGGTGCGTCAGTGCCAGGCGTTGAGTCGTGGCTGCTGCTCACTGTATGTGTGCATTTTACGCACATACTCATTATTGTGACATTTTATTGGGAATACTGTCCATGTGAAGCTCAGATTGTTTTATGTTTTCACTGTTTCACCAGTACTAGAGATGCATTTGTAGGAAGTATGTCAATATCACGATCCTTATTTATATTTTAAGAAGCTACAAATATATATAGTTTGTACATAGTACTACATAGAGTTGTTGTTGTTTTGGAGACCATAAGATGGTCTGCCAGTTTACACCGTTGGTGTAAACTGGCAGGTTTTCCTTACATTGCAGGCCAGCGCACTGCAAGTGGCTGCAAGTTTCAACTTGACTCATCGTGAATCTTTGGTCTGAACTGGACTTAAGACATGAAACACGATACAACTCTCACATCTGTCCCCTTAATGTGAAGCTACAAGCAAACGACTGCTCCCAGTAGCTTCATATTTTACGTACAGTAATGAGACTTGTACTGTACTTCCGTACTTACAAGAGTACTTCCCAAAACGTGCAACTATTCTTTTAACTCTCAAGTCTTTAATCTGTACGTGGGACATAAAACGTTTCACTGTAACATTTAGAGTGTGCTCAGCTGCTTGTTCAAACAAGCCCAGATATGGCTGTCCGGCGCACACCCATCTTGTTTTCCATCAAAGATTAATTAAACATCTTCTGTCACTATTAAACGATCACATGGCCAATACTGACAAGTTGAAACAAGACACGGTCAGTAGCAAAGAAGTCATTTTCTTACTCTCAGGGCCATTGGTATGTGATATACCGTATGCAAGACTACAAACAGATATAAAGACGCTGCATTCTCTCACCCACATGTATATGTATACATGCATGCAAATCCCACACTAAAACCACACTCAGGACAATAATGACTTCACAGGGTGCTGGGATGTTCACTCCATACAGACATGGCAGCATTAATTCAGTCTGTCATTTTTCAGGGTTTGCAAGTTCACGTTCTTCTCAGCTATACACGCGAGAAGGTGAAGAATACTGTAATGGCAGATAATAGATAAAAGGCTGTGACTGCAGTGCATGTCCACTTTGTGTGGGGGGAGAAAAAAAAATCAAAAATCAATCACATCATTTTATTTTCTGTGGGCAACAATGGCTTCTATATCCCAGTCTGGTGGACAACCATGTCAGCCTGTCAGGGATGAGGGAGGCGTAGGCTTTAGCAAGAAACCAGCTAGATCAAATTCTTACTGACTTTGGCAGCTCCCGTCTCTTTACCACCCGCAGTATCAGGCCTGCAGACAGGAAAGGAAGATAATCAGCTGTGGTGATAAATAGATGAGCTATCAAAGTAACTACTGTTCTTCATCATGTCTCGACAAACCTGATAATGCAGTCAGACATTATTCTTATGGCTTAATATCACTTAATTGCATGGCTGGCTGTTTACAAAAACCTATGTCCCAAACACCTGCAACAACTTTTTCAAAATTTAAAGACTAATAAAAAAAATCACAAAACATTCAGAAGTGACTACACATGTAAAATTCATGTTTCTGAGAGGTTTTAAGTTAGGACAGTGAAAGGCAGTGAAAGTTCAATTGCAAAGTTTTGACTTCAACTTTATCAATGAAAAGTTCACATTTTGATAATTTGTTTTTAATTAAACAGCCCAAAAGTGCAGTATTACATTCATGGGTCGGTAAAATTAGGGCTGGGCGATACAGAATAAAAATCATATCTCTGTATTTTTAGGCTAAATGGCAATACATGATATACTTCTCATTTCTTTCCACAAAGCGGGCTAAATGTTCAGTTATAAGTCAAAGCCTTATTTGAGACGTCCAAAGCACTTTCATTAAAACAGACAAGATATTTCTCTGACAGTGTTTAAGTGGTGTGGTCTCTGCTACAGTTTTCTTACTTTCTTAGTTTGTCACAGATGGTGTTGGAAGAGGGCTGGGCTCCTCTGTGAGGGGAGGGACTGTGGTTGGGGCGGCTGGGGGACTGAGAGGGACTGCGGCTGCCGCTGTCTCCCCGCCGGTGGCCTCCACTGCTCCGAGCCCCTCGCCTCGAACTGCCCCCTTGTCGTGAGCTGGAAGGTGACCTGACAGAAAGTGGAAACAAAGCTCTTGTCACGCAGTACGTTTACATGCACGCAGTAGTCGAGCTAAGCTCATAGCTCGGCTAATCAGTCGGAATAAGTCGGACTTATCGTCTTGTCTGAGTATACATGCAGAAGAGAAAACTGAATTTCTGACCAAGTACGTCTGAGTCCGCCTCGATAGGCGGCACTGTGTCCTTTTTGATATAGTGCGTATTGAACTAGTTCTGGTTGACCCTAAGGGGAAGCGTTTTCCTACCATCCATAAACTTCAAAATGTTGAGTTCCTTTAGCTGTCGGAGGATCAATGTAGTTTCCTCGTCTGTCCAGAAATGTGTCTTCTGCTTCTCTGTTGCCATGGTGTGTGTTTGTTTGTTTTTGTTTTGTTTTTCTGGGAGTTACTGCACTGCTATACTGAACTGCTGCTATGCCATCTCCTTCTTCTTCCAGGTGAAAGCCCGTGAAAGAAAAAGTGGTGCATGCGCAGAACGCAGAGTCCCACTCCTGTCAGACTAAGTGGATACATGCAGCAATAGGTGTGTTAGTCGAGCTACAAATAGCCCGGTTTCAGTCGGACTAAGTCAATAATTCGATTTTCTTAAGCTGCATGTAAACGCACTGAGTGTCATGTTTGATGTAAAACAATAACTAAAGCACTGGTGGGAGACGTTGACCGTCTTACCTTGTCCGTCTGCGTGCCGAGTATCGTCTCCTGTCCCGGTCCCTGTCTCTGTCCCTCTCTCTGTCTCTGTCGTGTGAACGTGATCGTGTCCTGTCACGTCTCCTCCAGGATCCGGCCCCTCCGTTCCCTCCTCTACCTCGGGAGTGAGATCTGGAGCGCCGTCTCGACCGTGATCGGGTCCAGGATCGCCGCCCATCCCTTCCCCCGCGTCCACGTCGGGTGCGGCGTGAATGGGAAGAAGAGCGAGACGAAGACCGAGATGAGGAGCGGGAGGAGGAGGAAGGGGAGCGACTGGAGGAAGATCGCCGTCTCCTGGACAAACAGAGACACACTGTTTTAGTAAGAACACCGGCCCAGCACCTAGCCTATCTTCAATATACTGCTGTTTTGTTTTTAAGAAATCTTACTGTCACATGATCCATAGAAGTGTAATTAGAATATTAAGATATTGTTTACTTGCTGACATGCACAATCAGACACTAAATGTTTCTGTCCAACCACACACATTTTTCTCTAAGCACATGCAGAATGTGTTCATTTGTTTTCAAACAGAGACATTTTTAAATGATTAAATCCACCTCACCTACCACAAAAATCAGTATTTCATCGTCAGTATTCTTTCTGCCTCAACAGTTGTGGTCATTTCAACAGACAAAAAATTGACTGTAGTAGAGAAAAATAACTAATGAAAAGCCAGGAGGATGGAAAGTTACCGACCGGGAGCCCCTGCTATGACCTGCAGGGTGCTGCACGCTGGAGGAGACGTGTCCAGAGTGAGGAGCGGCTGTTTGTGATGCTGCTGCTGCTGCTGCTGCCGCCGCTGCTGCCGCTTCGTCATCGCTGCCTCCAAAGCTGGTGATGAAGGTGATCTTCTCTGGACCAGGAGAACGAGAGCGTGACCGTGACTCAGAGCTCGACTCTGACTCTGGTCTGAGAGAGAAATCAGAAAATTGAGTCAAATATACATAAAGACTCAATGAATCAGGAAATTAAAATACAAAAGGACAAAATAGTCAACTCACCGTTTATAAGGATCATATGTTGGGCTGTCTCTTCTGGCATAGCTGCAATACACAAGGATGGCGACACATTATTATTATTATTTAACATAATTCGAGGTGACAGTGGGTCAACAGTGGACTGTTTATGAAGGATAAACCCTAAAAAAAAAGGGACATAAATTTACCTTGGTGGGCTGATCTGTCTACCTTTTAGTCTCTTCTCTCTGAACTCTCTCCTTTGTCTGCGAGAACGCCGGCCCTGAGATGATCAAACACGTCACTCAGAAAGTCTCATACAACCAGTCAAACCACACATACAAACATTTCTCAGTGGATTTTATCTTACAGAGTACATGGCCTTCTCCGCCTCCAGAGCCTTGGCATGTTTGATGGCCTCCACTTCCTCCTTGTCTTTCCTCAACATCCTGATAGAAAAGCATCATGTTAACGGCGTTACATAAAAAACACACTCATCACAGTGTAAAATGCTCAGCCATTTCAAATGGTATCACTTTTCATCTTCTTGAGCATGTTCAGTGGCATTTGCCAGAGCCTGTAAATGCATTCAAAGGTTTTTCTTTTGAACAGCCTACGGCATTCACGTTCACTGCAATGACAAAATATTTCCCTTTCAAGGAAGTGTATGACTCATCGAGATGTTTTTGATTGGTGAATGAGTTCTCTGTCACAGAGCTCAATATGGTTATGGCAACAATAATTGGATAAAAAAAAATTGTTATTTTTGGTCCCCTCAGGGCTTTGCTAAAAGGAGACCAATTATGCTTTCCCTTATCTTTTTGTTATATATATATAAAGTTAAAATGTCAGAAATTGCAAATTTTCAAATAAATAGGCAAAAAAACACAGTAACACCTGTGAGCAAAAACCTCAGCCCTCCCACCTTTCTAAATTCTCTTAGTGCTCTTCATTTGTACTAGGAAGTTGGAATTTCCAAGTTCCCCATCTGAAATTCCAACCTCTATGCCTCCTTTAGTCGGAATTCTGACTTGGTAAATCGGGGAAACCTCATCAACCTTGACCTCAAAAACCCAAAATGGCTGTTCTGCGCATCAACAGCAGTGAAAGCTGCAGTAATACACAGCAGTGAAAGCTGCAGTAATACACTGCACAGTAGCACTTCTGTCTTATTTGTGTCTCATACAAACAGTCATACACACAGAAACGGTCAACTTGGGTGTGACATCATTCCCAGCTACAACCTCCTACATCAGAGGTAAATGTAACACAGCTTCTCTTTTTAATGTGTTTTCTAAATTCGAGACAAGCTGACTACAGTTTGTGACAGATTTCTTCACGTTCATCTGCGCCAGCCACGTTATTGCAAACTACACTGCTACATCTAGCTTCATGCCAACTTCAGGGAAACATGTAATCTAGGCTGTTGATAATGTTAATTTCTCCCTGACCTGAGATCGTATTACTGCTGGAACATGTCCAGTTAGGTTTAGAAGGGCTGCTATTTTCCGTTACAGTCATTCCCTGGCTACAATGGCGATGCAGAGACAGAGAGGTACAGAAGACCAGGAAACGCTGACCAATCAAAGCTGAAAGGGCTTTTTCAGTAGGGTGGTTTTTAGAGACAGGTGCTAAAACGGAGCATTTCAGACATAGCGTGAGCACAGATGTTACAGCACAACAGCATGAGGAAAATAAATTGTTTTTTTGAACAGTAAAGCATGTAAACATGTTCTAGTAGAAACCCAAAATAGAAGTATTAACCCTAAAATTGAGCATAACAGGTCTCCTTTACTATCAATAAAAAGTTGATAACCCTATGAGCTGTTATTGTATTATATTTGCTTATCTAAAATTCTAAAAAGACTTTTTATATGAGGTCAATTAGCATTAAATTTCCATTGCTTTTTGTGAACTGAGAACTTATAAAAGCAAGAGAATATCAGTTATAACATTCATTACAGTGCCAACAGGTCTTGTATTCTTCCAAACCTGTATTTGACCTTTGAGACATGAGGATATAATCACTGAGACCTTACCTGACAAAGTCCCCTTCAGACATTCCATATGTGGTTGCCATTTTGTTTATGTCAAGCACCTGCTCCTGGTTAAGCTCATCGACATCAACCTCCACATCTGTAAATACACACAGAGACATGACAAAAGCTTTTTAACACAGTGACAAGCCAAAGCACAATTTAACCTCAGACAGAGAGGATCCTCAGCTCACAGCAGATAAGTAGATGTAAAGTAAAGAAAACATTTAGTGGTCACATATATTGACCTAAATATGTCTCGTTTTCTTTCAAACTAATGAAGAGCGACAAACTGAGAGTAGCGGTTACACCTTGGTGCACGTTTCTGCTCTGCATCCTGTTTCTGCAGCTTGTTTTTGTGGTTTGTCTCTGAAGTTTAAATTTTCCTGATATCTAAATCTCAGTAGTGCCAAACCCATTTCCTCACCAATATCTGGGATGCCCTCGTCCTCTTCGGATTCACTGTTCTCCGAATTGTCTTCATCTTTGTCTGATTGGGGGTCGGGCTCCGTCACAGTGCTGTCTTCATAGGTGTAACCAATGGTGGCCTTCTTTTCAGCCAGTCTGCACCATGGGAGAAAGGATTTATAAATACATAACCCTCATACACGATCATGGATTAAAATGCACAGTAGAGATGAGGCAACCCTTTCACTTAAATGACATACTTTTTCTTCTCGTCCTCATTTGGTTTCTGGGGACCACCGTAGAGCTCATCCAGGTAGATCTGGTATAAACACTGCTCCTCAGAGACTGTAGGAGGACAGCAGGGAGTTTAAGAGCACAACACAACTGCAAAATATACCCACTGAGGGCAGGCTAACAGACCACTACAGGCACATTAAGAACACATGTATTAACAGTATGTCAGTGTTGCAACATGAAACCAAATGTTACGAACTTTGTGATACTCACTGTTGGCAAAGTCATTCTGCACCAGGCCTCTGTATCGCTCATAGTTGCACTTCCTCTCCTCCATCTCCTGCTCTGGTGTTCTGTATGAGACGAAGAGTATAAGGTTGTCTTATATTTTACCACTTTTTTCCCCCCACAGGACACGTATTACAGATCTGATAATGTAAATACATATCTAACCTGCTTACATTTTTAAGATCAATACTGGTAACCTGATTTCAGCATTGTATATAATGTTTTTATTTTGGATTTGCACCTGATTTTTATTGTTATCTTGGACTTTTAACATATTGTTTCCACTTTGTGTTGCCAGAGCTGAACAGCAGTTTCCCTCAGGATAAATTAAGCTTGTCTTATCTTTTTCTGGGCATTTTTGGCATCTAATGGAGCCTGAAGCATTTGACTCTGAGGCAGAATAGAAGAAGAAACTGAAATAATTTCATCACCTGTGGGTATTATAGAACAACAGCATAAAGGTCCAGTGTGGAGGATTTAAAGGCATCTGTTGGTAGAAATGGTATACAATTTTCATAACTATGTTTTCATTAGTGTGTAATCATTGTGCTTTCATAACCTTGGAGTGAGCGGTTTATATCTACATACAGGGCGGGTCCTCTTAACGGACTTTGCCAGAGCATACAAACCAAACACTGGCTCTAGACAAGGCCATCCCTAATTCTGTGATGGCCACTGTAATTTTCCTACATGCTTGGCACATGGGAAATGTCTAAGTTCTGTAAACTCACCGCTAGATGCCATTAAATGCTACACACTGGACCTTTAAAACATCCAGAAAAGATTTAGAAGATGTTTTATGAGGTAGGAAATTCATTCAACTATTTTGTTAGCTGTAATAATTTGCTCTGTCGAGGAATGTTGAACGGAAATAAAGACTTTCACAATAAAAAAAATGACAGGCTATATTTCATTTTACCTTTTCAAACAATGCAAATGATTGCATAGTACGCAACACTAGTAATCTACAGTTTAATTTGCATTAAACATCTGTTGCACTTCGGGTATCAATAACACTGAATATGTTTTTCATTCCCAGATTTACATCATCAAATTTAATGAATCAAGTTTTGTCCATAGTTGACTAAAAGCTGAACATGTTTTTGTTTGTTTTTTGGGGCTCACTGATTCATATTCAATGATCGACATTCAATGATTCCATATCCAGGCTCATTTCTGCTAACTTTCCATTTTTTCCACAACAGACAAAAGAGCTGAAACACCAATTAAACAATTCGTCTTTCTGACTTGGCATAAAAACTTATTTTATAATAGGATGTTGTTTGTTGCATTAAGGGGGTGTGTGTGAGTTAGTCAGTGTTGTTAGTGTTTGTATGTGCGGGAGCAGCGCTGTCAACAGTACTGAAAGGGAGTGGGAGGAGATCAATAAATAGAAAATCAGACAGACGGAGCTTCAGATTGATTTTCCATAGCTGTAAATAGATCTTTCAGCTTTCTCTGAGAGAGAGAAATGCTAGTTGCAAAAATCTGTTTCTACACACGTGCACCCCCCTGTTGATTTTGTCAGTGTTTGCACTACATTCTTATGAGTGCTGATTAATTAATGTATGCATAAAGCAAGAGAAACCAAGCAATTATTTTTAAAAACAAGACATTCAGCACCACCAGAGAGACCCAGGGAAATGATCCTTTGTTTCATAACCACATTTTCTGATCCATCTGCGACAGTTTGACTGTGAGCTTGACAGTCCAATCAGACTCCTAGTTCTATGTACTGGATAAACATGTTTATTTTGTTATTTATTTTGTTGATGGTGGCAGACTGAAAACAACTGAAGGAACAAACAATTAAATAAAAAAGAAGACAAAAACCTCTCTGCTTGATACTTTACAGCACCCTCTCTTTGACAAATTTTATGTTAGGGTATGAGACTTTCTCGTATTCATGACTTGTGTTTTCCGTTAATCAAGTGCCTCAAATGTCAAAACGTAAAATGATCATGAGAACACGCAAATGTTTCCACAGTGCCTGCACAAACATAAGGTAAGAAATTTAACAAAAGTATTCATACCTGACAGATTTTGAGGTTAAATGTGACTAAGTAATTTCAACACTTACGATGTGCTGAGCAGTGGAGGTGTGTAGGTGGGGATGTAGTCCAAGTGAGCCCTCACATCAAACCTGTCAATCATATTGTTGGCGTCTCCTTGCCACGGCATCCTTTTCACAAAACAAGAGAAACAAGGTATAATATGATCAGCAAGCTCCCACAAGCACTGAGCATCTGGTGTACGCGTGTGCGTGTGTGTGTGTTTCCTCACATGTTGATGGGGCTCTCTGCAGCCAGCGCCACAGCAGGATCCAGATGGATCTTATATGCTTGGCCATGAACCTGGAGAAACTGAGCTGGATCTTTTTTCTGTTGAGACAAAATGAGAGGTAGTCAACAGAATATAAACCAACTATATACAACCAACTCAATAAAATAACTAAGCAAATAGTGGAACAGTGAAACTGTACTGTTCCTTTTCGCTTATTTCGCTTTCTAATCAAACCGAAAGAACAACTTAGGCTCATGTACGTGGTGCTTTACAGTGTCTTGTGAAGTGAGACCATACTTGTTCAAAATGCTGATATAAGAGAGTTAATTGCATTCATCTGTCATCTCAGGTCTAAATTTGGCTCCACGCAGACAGCTAGAACAAAAACCAACTGGCAGAAATAGAAAGTGAACAGGAGGTGAAGGAGTCTCAGCCAACACATAAGCCAACTTAAAGCTGCAGCTGAAAACATGAGATCTGGAGCAAACGATTACAGTAAGAGCTTTGAATGAGGTGCAGCAACTAACATTTGGACATAATGCATGTCTTCATCATAGTTAGAAGAGGAAGTGACATTGTAAGTGTCTATGCCCACCTAGAAGCTGTCTCTCATTGTTGCTCATGTCTAGCCAGTGCCATATTGTGCTGGTCCTTGATTTACATTCATATAATGGCTACCATGGCATACTCATGATTCTGAAGGCTCATTTATACTCCCTTTACATACGCAAATAAATATGTCGGTTTCAAACATTTCCACGCATCCTTTAAGATGGCACAGATACAGCCAATAGATGGCACTAGAGGGCAGAGTCAAAAGTTTTACACAACAACAATCAAGGTGTCTTCAAACAGAGGCAGCGCTGTAGAAGGCAGTGGTCTGTGCAGCCATTATATACATTTCAACATGTGGAAGAAGAATTCTTTTCACCATATTACTGATTTGTTCTGTTCCACCGTTATCTTAATTTCTTTGTCGTCTCCTATGGCTGTATCTTCATTGAACTACGCTACACTGCCTCCACAATATCTGTAGGTACTGCTCCATTTCATCCCTTTTTATAAGCTTTCAGAAAACACTGCACAAATACTGACAAAATAAACACAGACTATGGACAGTAGGCTCCATCTGTATATGTATCTATCATTAAGCATAAACGAGCAATAAATGGCCGTCCTGTGTTCTGAGCTCCTAAGAGCTTATTTAGTTTTGGCCAACATACACTTCACAGCAGGGACATTTCAGTATACAGATAACATGATTGCTGATGCAGTATATTAACAACTGGATGTTACATTCTTCGCATCAGTGGAGATGGAGGACTGAGCACGGTGACCACAATGATAATAGCCTAATACCCAAAGGGGCAACAGAGGTTTGCAAAGATGGAGGAGGTAGTCTTTAAAGTAGTGTGCACATTGTCTAATGAAGCTGTTGGGTATTCAGGAAAGACATCGGTCAGATAAGGATGGATTTGTAGGGCGTGCCAATGTTTGATTATGGTTTGTTTTATCAGTACAGACAGGTTTGGATTGTAAACAGTTGAAAAGCAAACTCTTGAGGAAATTTTGCGTTCAAGGTTGTTTGACTGTCATCACTATGTAGTTAGCAGCACTTTGAACCCAGATGATCAGATCTGCTCAGGCTTTCTGCCACAGAGCTACAAGTATTTCTGTATTCATTGCTCAGACAGATAGATGATAGAGGTCTCTTACTATCTTCTCATAGTACTCTCGCCGCCGCTCTCCTCGGCGCTTGTAATCTACCATCATGCCACGGAGCTTGCGCTCATGCTTGCGGGCCTCCTGCCACATGACGGCTCCGCTGGGGGTGGGGGCGCGGCGGGGCACGGCTGCTGTAGAGAGGCAAAGAGAAAAGAAACATGGGAGAGAGAAGAAAGAGAGAGCACACAAGAGCATCAGAAAATGTAGGACATTGAGGCGTGGAGTGAAAGGGACAGAAGAGAGATGTACAAATGATTTTTTTCCCTTAAAATAAATATTTGACCGAGACAAACTGCACAGAGAGTTCTTCTGGGAGATAACCTCACTTTACTTATGGCTCCCACACCATTTCTTTGCTATAAATACTTTAAGCGTTACTCCCCTGCTGTTTTACAGCACTAAAATTAAAAACCATAAACCACAATCAATATATCTGAGAACAAAATGCAGAGACTCGGTAATTTCTTATTACCCATAACACAAATTGTGACTCTCCATCTTAAAGTGCAGATAACAGCGAGTAGGAATACCTCAGAATTACTCATTTGTCTGCTGTGTTATTAATACTGATCACCTTTCTCAAGATTTTATCTGTGTTAATGGTTTGTTAGAATCAGAATCAGCTCATCTGCATTGGACAAGTATGTGTACATATACAAGGAATGTGACTGATTTTTTTTAACGTTGCTCTTTCACATAAATAAACCGAACAGCTCGGAGCACGCACAACAAAACTGAGTAAATAAACGTTAATATTAGACAGGACTAGTGTTTACACAAAAAAGTATATGGAAAAAAAAGCAAGTGTTATATAAATAGGTCATTAATATATTCAAAAAGCACCAATGATAGACAATATAAACAAATATCTGTATACAAGTATATTGATGTTAATGTCATACACTTATGTCAAGACTGTGAATCACTGAAAATATTTTATATACACTAATAATACAAAGCAGTTAGATTTTTTTCATCTAAAAAATTTTAGTAATTAGATGACCCACAGGCATGTCTATATATATTTATTGACATCAAAGGAGTATCAAAGGCCTATTTGTTTGGTATGCTTTTCTTATCAATCAGCCCTTACTTAAGATATTTTCTTTACTAACTTACACTTTGATTGATTTTATTTAGTCACTCAAGTGTGTCTTAACTATGTTAAACTGACCCTGACAGTAGCAAACACTATTTGCTTTTGCAAGTGACATTTAAGACAACAAACCAAATGCTTTATGCAAATAACTGACAATACTTTTAATTACAAATAATCTCTCAGACTACAAGGTTATTTCATTTTCATTTGTAAATGCGTAACATTAACTGTAGCTACTGTGAATCATCACATGCACAACTATGTCATTTTGAGCTTTATTGTTAAGTTAATCACCTCTTTGATTTATCATAAGCATTATTAGTGTTTAGCACATTAATGTTACAGTCGCAGGTAAACAGCCTACAGCCAAAAGGCTAAGCTAACATTAGCCAAATCTTAAATGTTATGTTATCGTTGTCAAGTGTTTACACCATATTATTGTTTATACATTATAAGCTTAATTTAATTTCCACATTTACGCAACCCTCGTGTCGTTTTGGGGGTTTAAGGCGTGAAATAGCAATGTTTCTAAAGTTATTGAGGAGTTTGTTAGCACACACGTCGGCCTGCTTTGAGCCTGTAGCCCGGGCCTTTATAACGTTAGCGCTGTGCTGCTTTTAGCCTGTTAGCTCCCAGCTAGCCTAGCCTAGTTTAGCTTAGCTCACTTTAGCTAGGAACAACGCGTGCATCACAGCCTCATTAACACCGGTAAAACATGAAATGCAGCAAAGCAACACACCCTGGTTCGTTTTAAAATTCGTTTTGTACCTGTTTTACTGAACGCCAACACACACTGGGGTTGTTTTCGGCCAGCCGAAGGCGATGTTGGCGGACTGTCACACACACGCCTCCTTCGCCGCCTGCTAGTGTTGTAGTTGGTCGGTGCAGTACCGAGCTCAGCCTGAGGGGGGCACTGCAGTTTGTCTTATAGCTAGTAGGCTTTACTGAGGACAACACAGCATGGAGGGCTGTGATACTTTTAAACATATAATTATAATTATAAAATATAATTACATATTATTACGTTGTAACTAAAATTATTTTGTGAAATTAACTGGAAGAAAACTAGTCTTAATAAGATCATAAAGTTAAAGAGGTTTCCTTTATGAACAAGAAACACTCTGCATCACAAAGCATTTGTATTTTACAGTTTTCCCTCATTTGTTTGGATGCATTTGTCCATGTAAAAGTTACATTTTCAAAACACACACAAGCCTAGACTGAAAGTCTCTGGCCAAAATAACACATCCTGTCTGCAAAATGCTCTAACCTTCACAAAACATTAAACAGCAGTAGCTCAGTCCATAGGGACTTGGGTTGGGAACCGGAGGGTCACCTGTTTGAGTCCCTGTCCGGACCAAATATGGAGCGTGGACTGGTGGCTGGAGAGGTGCCAGTTCACCTCCTGGGCACTGCCGAGGTGCCCTTGAGCAAGGCACCGAACCCCCCAACCGCTCGGGGCGCCTGACCAAGGGCAGCTCCCTCACTCTGACATCTCTCTCCACTTTGTGCATGTGTAAGTTCTGTTTGTGCATGTGTGTGTCTTTCGGACCTGTGTAATTGACAAGCAAGAGTGAAAACATTGAATTTCCCCTCAGGGGGATTAATAAAGCAAATAAACTTAATAAAGTAATTAAAAAAACATTAAACACATGCCACAAAATCAAATATTTAAATCATACAACACAACTTGTGATCAAATAAATATATTTTTTCAATCAATCATTAATCAGTGGAAATGCCCTGCTGACATATTATCAAGAAGGCATTTTCTGAGGAAGTTTTCTTCATCCACTTCATTCTTGTGTCCAGTTGTACACTACACATAATGTTACTGGAAAAATTCCATATTTACAAAAACCAGACTTTTCTATCAAGAACTACAACAATATGACACCACTAAGGCCTTCTGAACAAAAAGGAACTTAGAACTTGGTATGTGTTTGATACATTTGCTATAAACCAATGTTGCTTTTGTATTCTTTTTTTAAAAAAAATCATATTCTTGAATTCTCTCTGTATAAATGAACCCCTGGTATGTACATGTGAGCACACATGCTGCTTGATTTGATGCTTTTATAAACATTAGAACTTGCAAAGTGTAAAAATATAGATATATTTTTGTGTGAAATAATGTGGCCTGTTATAAAGTTTAATCATTAATGGATGGAGTTTCACTTTAAAACTCAACATGGTGTCAAAACCAGTGGTGGAATGTAACATGTAAGTGCAACTACTGAAGTACTGTAGCCTACTTAAGAACAATTTTGACTTCATGTAGCAAGTTTACCTCAGTAATTTTATTTTATGCCACTTGATTAATCTCTTCCACTACATGTATTTGACAGCTTTAGCTACAAGGCTAGTCACTTTGCATAAACGTTAAAGGGTTACAGTTTGTGTACCTACTGTGGCCACAAGATGTCCCTATAAGACAGGAGAAATGACCATAACTGTGAGGTCAGTCTTACTTTTGAGATTATCTTCTTGAAATAAAGTACATTGCATTAAATTAAATTGAATAACTTCATCTCAGATCTCTATTTTGTGAGGAAATACCCACCGTATCAACATAAATGATGCTGCTCCTACAAAGCAGCCTGTCATTTTGTTTTATACTGAATCAGACTTGTGCAGATGTTGAAATTCTGATCCCCATTGACAAGTCAATCATTGCTTAAACCTCAGATTACCCTGTTTGTACTGTTACCCAGTGGCTGTCAGGAGAGTCAGAGACAGACACCAGAGAGAGTCTGTTTCAAAGACGAGCTGACAAACCAGCCTCTGTGAGCCTTGCCTCAATGTCAGGACATGGCATCAAAGCTGAAACAAACTTAGATGCAAGTATTCACTGCATCACTGTCATCACTTGGGATATAAAAAGAAAGAAGATATTCTGATGAAACATTTTTAATGAGGCACGCAGCTGACTGAAAACCTTTCAATCAGGGGAGCTGGGGTCTGACATCCTGGTCACAGAGCAGGTGTAGAGAGCGTCCATGCAGTAGTGTGTGCATGTGCGTAAACTCTTACTTCCTACATTTCCTCCTGACGAGGGTGGTGACAGGAAGCCCGTGTTCATTTCCAGTCTGCCGCTGCTTGCAGGGGCCAAAGGTCACAGTTGTCACATCCATTTGCCCATTAACTGTCACTGCTGTGACCCTGCAGCCACTCTACCCTGCCCCGACACACAAAACCCTTCCTCTCACACACTTTCACATATTCTACAGTGGATTTATCATTTTTTTATCAGCATGCACTACATAGATGAAGCGGGTTGACGCTTACGTACAGTACAATGCCAGATACATGTCTGGTTTCATACGTTTGTATTGCAGCAGTTTTTGTACACCTGAAGTATTATGAGTGGTACTAACCCTAATGTTAGGAACTGTAAGTCAATAATTTCAATGAATTTACGATTGCATACTACCAAGGAGTTACAAGAAGGTATTCAAAACATTTTACAAACTTTCCAACAACAGACAAGTTTCTCACAACCATGCAGTCGTTCTCTAGGAAGGCCGGGGTCAGTCAGGTGGTTTTCCATTTTTTTTCCTGGCGCTGTCAGCATCATTGTTTATAAATGTGTGTCGGAGAAATAGAGAGACCTTGTGCATACACTGACCCACTGACCTAGTCTTACGGTCAGTGAGCCATGTGCTCCATCATGAAATATCCTCTCTAGGGTCTCTGACAATGTTGAACAAGACAGCTTGTCATAGCATCCGAAAAGTGGACATGCACACACACAAAGTGTGAAACAACCTTAGTACTTAGTGATATAACTTTTAAATAATCATTTATTTTGTGAAGCTATTGTTTCCCTTTTGACATGTGATAATAATTTGGAGTTTATTCCTAAGTGTGTAAACTGCTGCACCTTCTTCTTATTATGTGAACCTAGCATTATTTACCCATTTAACCCTTTAAACTTTGATCAAGGTGCTTTAAAGTTAAAGGTCCAGAGTGTGGGATTAGGGGGATAAATTGGCAGAAATAGAAATATAGTATAATAAGTGTATTTTCTTTAATGTATAATCACCTGAAAATGAGAGTTGTCGAGTTTTTGTTACCTTGGAATGGGTCGTTTGAAAGCAGGTCCTCGTCCATGGAGTCCGCCATGTTGCACCACCATGTTTCTACAGTAGCCCAGAACAGACAAACCAAACACTGGCTCTCGATAGGGCCATTTGTGTTTTTGCGTTGGCCACTGCAGTTAGCTAAAAACCCTCTGAACATCTGGATCTCAAGTTATCACAGAAAAAGTTAAGCACACATCAGCAGGTGCCGGGCTGGCGGCCTGTTTGCAACTAAACAAACAGTGTAGGAGAAACACTAATTTGTAACGTGAACGTGCTTTACGCATTGTTTTAACTGGTTTGAATCTCCTGATGTGTTTGTTTTGGAGGGGAAGAGACATCTGCGGATAATTTAGCTCCTGGTAAAAGTCTCCTGAACATTAAGCGCTTAAAGAATCCTAACCGGGAATTGATACTTGGCACATGGGAGAGTTTCACCTGGTTGTAATCTGCAGTCTTCACTGCGGGATGCCGCTAAATCCTATACACTGCTCCTTTAAAAAAAACATTGTTCCAACACTTCACTGAAGCTCTACAGTAAGAGAAATAATCAAAACCCCAAACTTTATGGCTGCGTTATTTCATGCAGGAGAATGTAAATATTTTCACCCCTTCTGCATCATTCTCACATTTTTATTAAACAGAGTTTGACATCTTTATGGGAACTGTGGAGGCACTGCTTGGCGCACAACATAAATGTGTAAATACGAACCCACCTGTGGCCGCTTCAGAGTTTAAGAGGATACAAAAGGTTGGAGAAATAAATAGCAAATGAAAACCTCAGAGGACATTTTTCATTGCTCCCTCATGAAATATCCTTGTTTGGAATTATGCACATATATAAAAAAGGTGAGAAACACCTCACCCTCTCTTGCAAAGACTACAGTTAATCATCTGTGTGTGGCAGCGCTGTCACCTCCCTCTAGCAGCGACAGTAACACTGATGAATAATGATTATAGGCAATAAAAAATAGAGTTGGTAAATGCACTTTTATTACAATCCACATGTGCTGGTTGCTCCAAATGGAAAGTGAAATGGGACAAACAGAGCAAAGTAATACAGTGATACTTTCAGACCAAACCACAGTACAAAACGGGCATCAATATGTACAATATATTCATGTACAAAAAAGCTATTTTACACACAGGTATGAAAAAATCATACATCTTTGACAAACTGTAGTATTACAGAGACAATACAGGCAACAGTGTATAGTTTTAAAACAGTTTTCAAAAGCCTCAGAAGCCTTTGGAAATGGAGTATGCACTCTCTTTGACATGCATATCAACTTTGTTTTCTTTTCTTTAAGTAAACTGTCCTTTTTTCCCCACATATACTCATAATATACATTCACTCTCACATACACTTACACACAACCAGACACTGAAACACACACTGCGTGTTAAATAAGCATCCATTCATTGATCTCTCTGTCTGTCAGAGTTCAGTCTGGAACAGAAATGGAGGTCTGAGCATAAATCAGGTGGCATCTTGGACCAGGAAACAGGTTGAGAGGCTCCTTCAGAGGACGATCCTCTGTGTCCTCTTGACGGTATCTCAGGCACTCCAAGGCAAGTCTTTAAGTCTTCAAATTAAATCAAGAGTCTGATGAGTCTTTCAGTCAAACAGCATGCACTCGCTGCTTTTCATAGTTAATAAGGTCAAAGACGACAGCACAGTAACACCTGTGACCCCTCTACTTAGCAGCCTTCGCTCCTCAGGTGTTATCAGGTGCCATCTGAGCACATAAAGGTCAAAGGGTCAGCCCCATTTTCACAATTGCAACAGTGACACAGTGCAAGAAACTGGAAAAGGGTCACTGTGAGCGAGAGAGTGCGAAGAACGCAAAATGAAAAGTAAAAAAAGCTCCTCAGAGGCTGAAAAGTTCAAAGGTCAGGCTTCCAGTTCCTGGTTGTCTGTGTAGTGGAAGCGGTTCAATTTCTCCCTCTCCCGGTTTGAAATGTCCAGTTTGGGGGCGTGGGCTGGCTTCAGTGCCGGAGACGGGTGCGAAGGTGCAGGGGAGGGTGGCAAGGTGAGTTCAATCTCCTCGTAGCAACGTGAGACTGGGGCAGGAGGCGCTGGAGGGTGTGCGAGAGGGGTGGCAGGGGGCAGGAGGGGCACGGGACGGTCCACGTTTCTGATGAGGGTGACAAACTCCCTCTGGTTGTTGATGCCTTCTTCCTGTGGGACAGCCTGCTGCTTTTTCCGCTTTCGGTGGAGGTGGGAAAGGATGAAGGCGCAGGTGGCACAGCCACAGACTGTCACTAGAGCTAAGACGCCCACCAGGATGATGTAGAAGCTGACACCCCCGTGTGTCGTGTCAGACATGGCACCTACAGACATGGAGGCAGAGACAGAGAGGGTTGACCAAACCTCATCAGAGACTTTGTACTTTTTTAACACACACACACACACACACACACACACACACACACACGCACACACACACACAAGTCTTACCTGGACAGTGTTGACCAATGCATGAATTTTTGAGGCTCATGCACTCGTTACCATAGTAACCCTCAGGGCATGCACACATGTATCTGCCCTCTGTGCTGTAACAGGGAACCCCCTGCTGGCAGGGGTTGGGATTGCACAGATCCAACGCTATCTGAAATCATGGAGAGGAACAAAAGAGTTGCAGTTTAACGGACAGCGTTACATTAATTTTGTCAAATCTGTGTTCAAACAAAAATTGAATTAAAAATCTTTATTCTGTTTCCCTTGTTGGAGCATTATATGTGGCTACTTTTTTATTGCAGTTGTGTTGATTTGTTAATTTATTTCTGAAGCTAATGTGTTGCTGCTACTGCATTCAAAGTAACTGAATTAACTGTTGAGTGAACTGTTATGTATTTAGGTAACAGATATATTTGGTGAACTCTTTTAACCATCACTTTTGTAGGCTATGTACATATTTACTAGATTAATAACTGTGTCATACTTCCTGTGGGGACTTAACATTGCTGATGATGCTTTGTGTCTTCTAATCCAATCTGACAGCTTCTTAAATTTGTTGCCCAATATTGTTGGAGTAGTAAGGCAGAAGATATTGTTGTAAGGCTACTAATCATGGTTGTCATGACCCATCAAGCTACCTGAGAATTTGTTCATTTGTCATCCCTGTGTTTTCTATTCTATTTTGGTAGCCATTGTCTCATCTTGTTTCAGATCCCACATCCCCTGCTTTGTGATTACTTGGTCCTCCCTAATGTGTTTCACCTGTGTCTCAGTGTCTCCCTCATTTTAGTTCATTTAAGTCCCTGTTTTCCGTCCTTTTTTGCCAGATTGTCTTTACTTTTGAGAGTTCCAGGGTTTTCCTATTGTTCCTTGTGAGTGTGATTTTGATGATTTTTTGCCTTTTGACCACCAGTTTTGCCTGTCGAATTGGATATCTTTGCCTGTGTAACTGATCACCCATGTACCGAACTGAGCCTGATTAAAGCCCTGAACTTTTCTCTGAGTCTGTGAGTCTCCAGTTTGTGCTTGACAATGGTAACCAGTTCAAATTGATATAAGACATCTGCCTCAGTGTTATCAAATTCATGGTATTCATCCTCTCTGTATTCATTTATTTAATTTTTTTTTAACATATGTGGGTTTCTGTATGTGAATTTCTGAGCACCTTATAGTCTATTTTCCAAATTTTAGGGCTTTCAATTACGTTCTACCAAGTCTTTTAAGGGTTTTTATACTGTTAAATTTAGGTCCCTCACATTACAGCAGCTTAAATCTAATAAACAGTAATGTAAATTGTACTTTTTTTTATGATTTTTCATGATTTAATTAAGATCCTCTAAATAGCAGTGAGTGTATCTTCAATGTGTTTATTGGTGTTTGACTGTTTTACATCTCTTTTTCCGATTACACTTAATTGAATCTACGGTGTTTTCCAAATCACAGAGGACTTGGAGTCCTTCCTCCACTGAGTTTTATGTCTTTCTATGATCTCATTCAGCAGACAAGTTTTAAGTGAACATCAATGAAGGTCATCTCACCTCACAAAAGACTCCTGAAAATCCTGTTGGACAGTTGCAAGTGACGGTCTTTCCATCCTTCTCCACACACTGTCCTCCATGCAGACAGGGGGCGCTGTCACAAGGACTCGGACCAATTTGGCAATATTTCCCCGAGAAACCAGGTGGACACAAGCATCTGGACCCTGACACCTGGTCCTATGCGGGACAGAATATAGTGAGAGTTACTTATGTTCGTGTAAAACAGAGAGAGCATCGATTATAGATTGTGAGAGTGACAGTGAGAACAGCGACAATATCTCTACAGTGAATATGAGTGCCGTGACTGATATGCAGAGATGACGAGTAAATTAGACAGAGAGAGAAAGGCAGCACAGCCAGGACTCTCACCTCACAACGGCCGCCGTTCAGACACAAACCCTGACAGCTGCTGTTCCCTAGAAATCAGAGAAACCAGACACTATATTAACCTGTCACATAGAGATAGGATATGTCTGAACACCCTCTTTTTGGTAAGTGTTACATTCTCAGTGTATTTCATTGAAACTCTGACAGATGACTGATAGAACTGGACTTGGAGTGAAATGATCTCCAGCCCACAGGGACTCTGGGCTGCAGGGGAACTGCTGTTTAAACACAATCCAGTGAGGCTCTTCATCTTTCACTCCCTGCCAGAGGACGATCATTCTTTCCTTCCTTCCTTTATTCCTTTCCTTTCCCTTTTATACTCACGTATGTCACAGTTAGGCCCCGTCCATCCAGGAAGGCAGTCACACAGGTATCCACCGATCAGGTTGCGACAAGAGCGGGCGTGGACGCATATACTCATTTCACACTCGTTGGTGTCTAAAGGGAGGGAGAAAACATTTTTAAAAATAGATCTGATGAAGAGCATCTTATCTCTACTAAAGATTTTGCATACAATGTCTCTGATAGATCGAAACCAGGGATGACCTGAGTCACTGCTACACCTGTTCCTCTCGATTTATTTAGCACGATTATAGCGAACCCTTCAGAGCTAAACATCCCTTACCAATCCCACTCCACCCTGTGAGCTAGCTCACCACAGTTTATAGTGCTATAGGGCAGTGGTTCCCAAGTGGTGGGCCGCAGTCCACTCTGAATGGACCTCAAGTGGCTCGCAGACGTGTCAGGTTTGTAAAAAAACACACTTTATTTTTAAGTGAAGTGAATTTCTGGCACAAAGCTTTTACTTTGAAGTGCCGTTTCCTGCTGTACAGTGAGTGACTAATGGTCAGCTACTTGACAGAGACAGCAAACTAGCTGGACGACCAGTCTATGTGGACGACATGGCCAAATGCAAGTATGATGCTGAATATACTGGTGTGCATTTTCAGATACAGAGCCTATATGTGTGTTCACATACCCCAATATTCACATACACATATACAACACAATGTGGCTTAGAAATTAAAATAGAATAAAATAAATATTAGGAATTAAAATCAATAAACGCAATAAAAATTGACATATGATAATCATAGATAAAATGCAGGATATGTCATGTTATACAAGATCTGTGTTATTCACCCTCTAAGTGATTGTCAGGCTTGATGATAATAACCAACTAATCAGAGGAGTGACAGCATAAATTCTTAAAGAAATAAGCGGACTGTTGAACCCCGCAGTGAGAACTTTATCTTCTCCAGGTCTAGTAAAGACTGTATATTGTGGAGCCAAGAGGTGTAAGACAGTGGTGTTCAGTGTAGGAGGATTCTCCTGTGAGCTATCAGGGAGGTGAATGAAATTACACTTGCTTGTTTCACTGAAATGTGACTGCCCTGTTCATGAATACCAAAAATGGGGATCATTGGGGATGACTCAATTGTTAGCTCTAATACCTCTGAAATAACCTCAAAGAAGTGACTCCAACATCCAGCCAGTTTTGAGCATTATGATGACAGTGTGATTGTGAGTATCTTTCTCAGGAATTGATGATATCAGGGTATGTCCTTGATAATCTGGATTTACTTTAAAGTGCCCTGTGCAGAAGTTTAAACTGATAAACTAGTGGTTTATTTCTTTAAGTGCCTGCTCTCACAAAGACACCCTTCTGTTTCCTATTCTGTCTTTATTTCTATGAAGGCAGGTGGTGTGCCTTGGGTTATAAAGTCATACAGATAGGAGACATGACGATTTGTCATATGGTGTAAGGTGATCAACTCCAGTGGAGAGTGGGGTATTTGGGAATGACGGTGTGGAGAAAGTGTTGAATTTGAAAGGTCTGACTGCTGGAGATTAAACGCAGCAGACAGATGGGCAAAGCTGGCAAACTTCCCTTCGTCGTAGAGGTCACCTTACTTGTTTGTTCCAGAAAAAAAAAACGTGGGGTTGATTTTTAGCTCACTTAAATAGGTCATTTTTACAAATTGGTGTAGCCAGGGGGAGTGTATTCCAGTTGAGGTGATGCTAAATGTGCTGCCAGAGTTTTAGTGTGGATATGATTACCGGACTGGAACTATACTGTCTCAGTTTGAATAGTCTGCCGTGACACACCAAAGCTTTTAGAGAGCTGGAATGGCAGAAATGTGATTCGAGCTGGCACCGGTGAGTGTGTGGGTTGAAGGGCCAATATGCAATCTTTTGCATATTGGCTGCCCAGTAATAGCGCTGTAGACTGGGAAGTCCCATTCCACTCTCTGATTTAGGTCTCTGTAGCAGCGGTTTGTTAAGTCTCAGGGCTTTACTTCCCCATATGAAGGAGGAAACCAGAGATTCAGTCTTATGGAAGGAGGATTTAGGAAGGAATAGAGGCAGATATTAGAGTAAGGAAAGGTACCTTGGCAGAATATTCATTTTAATGCACTGTGTCTGACCTGCTAACGTAATATGAAAACTGTTTCACCCCTAAGGTCTTCTTTTACATTATTTGTCAAGACTGAAAAGTTATTTTCATGCAGCTCACTAACAGCGCGAGCAATGTTGATAACCAAGTATTTCATCCTTTTTACTTCTACATGGACATGCAACATTTTGTCTACAAATAGTCTTGCTCATATAACACAGCATGATATCACTGGCACACCGCCATGTCTGGAGGCTTTATGTTTTCAGGTTGTCAGTCTGCCCATCCCGTTTTCATGAACACAATATCTCATAAATGCCTTGAGAAAATTTCTTTAAATTGGGAAAAAATGTGAACAACTGTTGGGAACAAATTTCACGGTCAAGGACCTTGCGTCCAGCCAATTCTCGCAAACCCAATATTTCAAGAAGGCCTTAAAGGATTTTTTTCTCAAATCTGGCTCAAATGTTCACCTGAACTCATAAATGAACTGATGAGAATTTTGTTGTTGAAGGTCAAAGGTCAAAGTCACTGTGACCTCACAAAACATGTTTTTGGCCTTAACTCAAGAATTGATGGGCTAACTGTGAAAAAAAATTCACACAAATGTCTTGATAGGATAAAATGATGAAGTGATGACATTTTTTATCTCAAAGGTCAACTTCACTGTGACACCGTAATGTTCTGCATAAACACTTTTCTAGCTGTTATTCAGTGTCATAACATTTGGTCAGAAACTAAATTAGTAACTGTAATCTTAGGTGTCCATTTTGAAACTATGGTGATTGTACAGATGAGTGGTTCCCAAGTGTGTAAAAAACACACTTAATTTTGAGTACAGTGAATTTCCAGCACAGAGACTTTATTTTGAAGTGCGGTTTCTTGCTGTAGAGTGAGCGACTAACAGACAGATACTTGACAGAGACAGCAAACTTGCTCGACGACATGGCCAAATGAAAGTATGACACTGAATGTATTAAACTGTGTGGACCTTAAACTAATGACTAAGAGGAAATCTGGACCCTGTGGCTAAACCAGTTTGGAACCACTAGTATACATCGTCTATGCTGCCAGGTTGAAGATGTGTGTGAAGCATCTATGTTTTAAAATATGTAACTTTTTTTGCAGCAACATTCATATTTAAAGCATTGTCAACTGCCATGGCTGCATATGAATCTGGACAGACATGAATGTTAATCTGTAACTGTGCCTTGACTGGATGCAGTAATTTAATTATTGTTCTGCTATGTATTATTATTTATAGGTTGCCATTTTGGTAGTTATTATAGAGGTAATGAAATAACATTACACACAAAATATCAGTATTGACCCAATTTATTACCAAACCAAAATATTAGTCTAATGTTGTTGCAGGACTCACCAACAACACTGTGCTAATTAAACTTCTCACTGAAATGAGATAAAACATCCAATAAAACTAGTAAATTTAATCCTGCATGTCTCCTACGGGGCCCCCGACAATCTTTAGCCACCTGTTAAATTCAATTTTGAAGTGGATGCTTGAATTGAGCCATGAAGCAGGAATCTGCTCAATACATAACAACACTTGGAGACAGAGCGCTCGCCCTTTATCAAATATAATGTTTACAAATTAACACTACATCCAAAGTAATGCCTTGCAGCATCTTCTTACATCGTCTCTGTTTATGCGCAGACCCCCCTGCTGCACCACTGCCTTAGTTAAGTGTGTGTGTGCCCATTCCCACCCTCTGTCGCACTGGGAGTGTAAAAAGCCAGGAACCCCTGAGGGCTTGGCTCTGATAGCAGGAGAAGGAAGATTAGAAAGAAACGCTGAATGAATAAAAAGGAAGTAGTCAGTCAGTTATAGGTAATCTAAACCTGTTAGAGTCACTGAGAGGCCTATTAGGATTTAGCATCGGGGGAGTGTATATGTATGTGTGTGTATGTGTGTGTGTGTGTGTGTGTTATCTATGGAAAAAGCCTGCGGATTCTGCCTGCAACTGGAGAAAATGTGGGGACAGAAGTCGTCCAATAAAAGAGTGAAACTGATAGAAAGTATAATTGCTTTTCCCCATTTGAGGCACTACTGACGCTCTGCCTCTCGGCTCAGGCTATAAAGAGTTTTATCACTTGTGTTTGAGTCCTGTGCATGTGTGTGTGTGTGTGTGTGTGTGTGTGTGTGTGTGTGTGTTATACTGTGAGCTACTGACCTGTGATGTGGAACTATGGGGGGATTATCAAGTGTCAGAGTGACATATCACTGTAACACAGAGGAGTAGGAGAGGCTGTCAGACTGAAATATGTCTCACTTTTTACTTCATAACCCGCAAGCTAAGCCACTGTATGTGTGTATATACTATGTCCTGTGTGTGTGTGTGTGTGTGTGTGTGAACCTATACAATATTCCTGATGCTGTACTACACAACACAACCCTGAGGGAGTATACTTGTCAATATGAGCGAATGCGGCCCAAAGAGACGTGACAGTGCATTTAGATAATACTGATTCACAGTCACGATGGGCTGATAGGAGAATTAAAATGCCATGGGCTTTTTCTGCCTCTGTAATTTGTGCTTTAAATGCATATTTCACTTCAAATGGAACACATAATCACATATTGCTCGTTGAAACGCAGCTTTTGAAACCAGCCGTGAATCACAGATTGATTTAGCTTGTTAGAGGATCAGTGTTAAAAATCCTAGGAATAGATTCCTTTGAAGATGATAAATATCAGATTTTCTCATTAGTAGAACTCTGTATAAACAACTGTGGTGACTTACTTTAATGATGAAAAATTATTAATGCCACAGAACCCCAGTGTGCTAAACTTTTGAAGCATTACACTGGAAAAGAATCTCAGATGAATTGCCTTTTGCACTAACTTTAAGCCCCTTTGCTCTCGTCATTTGTCGGGTTAAGATTAAAATGCAGTATCTTATTGACTAGTTGTACGATACACAGTTCTGGCTTTAAATTGTCTTGGTCATCCATCTCTAAAAGTACTATTTGCATTTCTGTTTTGCTTTGAAGTTCCTTGCTTTGCTTACATTACCTTTATTGATGGCTGGGCTATACGATTGAAATCAATATCACAGTAACAATTAGGATACAATAAGGGTTGCCCAATTGCCTGGGGTACATAAAAGGCCATGTCAGGCTAGTAAATCTTGCAAAAAGTAATTAAACACATTGTTTTTTTGAGGAATGAATGATGGAAGTTGCTTAGGAGTGAGACATCTGGCTTCCCTCTCATCTCTGTTGGAGCTGCAAATGCGCAGTACCAGTTGAACACTTCTGACAAAATGGCGGCAGGTAAAGATCTGAAGAGCGAGCAAACATTTCAGCTATTCTGGGAACAGGAGTTTAGTTTGGTGGCGTTAAGGATATGGGTGTAATGCCAACATATAATGCACGGTTTGCTACAAGTTTGAGAGCAAGGCAAATAAAACAGGGCTGTTTTTCAAAGGCACATCAAGTTTATGATTACACGTGACAATTCATTTTTTTTTCTTTGTTGTTATTTGATAACCTTTAATAAATAAAGCAGTTTGTAAAGGGGTAAGTAGATTTCTGATCCACTTGCCTAATTACCTGAAGTTAAAAAAAACTTCAACGCAGAACTCTGATATGGTATATCACAATATGAAAAATATGCAAAATGACAAAATACAAAATAACTGAATGGATGTTCAACCAGTGAACTGAATTCCATCGTTAAGCATCAGGCTACATGAAACCTTTTTCATATGTGTCCAACAAAACCTTCAATAGCCACTGTAGTTAGGATTTCCAGTTGAAATCCCCAGAACATGGTAAATGGACTACACTTGTATAGCACCTTTCTAGTCTTCTGACCACTCAAAGCACTTTTTACACTACATGTCACGTTCACCCATTCACACACTGGTGGCCGAGGCTACTGCACATGGTGCCACCTGCTACTTAGTAAACATTCACATGCTCTCACACACTGATGGAACAGCCATCAGGAGCAGTCTGGGGTTCAGTATCTTGCCCAAGGACACTTTGAGATGTGGAGTGATCGAACCGTTGATCTTCTGATTGGTGCTCTACCTCCTGAGCCACAGCACCAACTGCTTAATAGAAAGTTTAGTGAGACTGTTTTGTCACTAGCTATTTCCAAAGTCACTGAATGGACCTTGTGTAAATAATTCATGAGCTGTCAATAGCTGTCAATAATTTAATTTACAGTCATCGATATGGATAAGAGAAATTTGTAGGATGGTAACATGACATTTTTTGATTTCGTGGATTCAGGAAAGCATATCCCCATTGTGTTCTGATATATGATATAGTCATGCTTTCATTTAAACTCTTTTCCTGCAAAATTTGTGGATATGGGCAGGATTTTTAAACCCGGGAAAACTTTCTACAAATAGGCGATAGACTGCTATTCTATTGCCAGTGGACTAGAGCAGTGTACACGGCTCTGCAGTAGATGAATCTTGTTTTTTTTAATGGTGTGTAACATTTGACGTCATAGACGTACCAGAAAACAGGTAAGTAAACAGCAGAGAGCAGCAGCGATGCCAGTGAAAATGTTAAAGTGTTTGCTTCGTTATTATATGTGTTACTTATTCAGTCTCTCTCAACTCTGTGCTGACTAATTTAGAACAATGTGTGAATTAGAGCATCCAGCTGGGTGTCACGTTTCCATTGCTGCATGAGAGCCGATCAGAGCTAAAAATCCCTGACTACTGCAGAGTTATATGTCCTGGGAATAAATGCCAATTATAACTTTTCCCACTAAAGACAAAAACCAGATGTTAGTTAGATGTTAGTGGATATTTTTGTCCAGTACGAAAGAGGCTATTTAGAAGAACAGGCATAGCTGGCTCCATTACTCAGAGGCAGTGGCCTTATGAATGCATATGCATTGTAGCTATTTAACTCTGACCCACTGACCCAGCTGGCATGTCCTGCCGGTCCATCCAGGCGGGCAAAGGCACCGGTAACCTCCAGGAATCTCTTGACACGTTGCTCCACGTCCACAAGGGCTGCGATCACACTGCTTCACCGCTGGGAAGAGAAAATATTTCACATGAACTACTGGTCTGTGTAATGGGAATCTGTGTATGAATATCAAAGAGATCATTTTGTGTGTGCGTGTGTCACTGTGTCTGTGCGATGCCACCGTGTGGACATGTGTGATCTGAACATTGGTATGCGGATACTTTGGCTGCCCGTGTTTTCATTCTCATTTCTGCTGCTCTGGTTTCAGTGCAAACAGTGATAAATACAACCGTCTGCTGCACGTACATGGCTGTCACCTCAAACCTTTCCCAGAGAGGAGGGATGAACCAGGGAATTTAAATAAAAGAAAAGATGATGGGATGTAAAATAGAAATAGAAAAATGGGGCTGCCATGCCTGGTTCCACTGCTCTGAAAAGGAAGTATATACAGATAAAGAAACAGAGGGAACGTGAGGAAAAAGAGCACAACACAAGCTCTGATTTTAGTGGTTAACCGTGCATGACTTCTTATTACACATGACATATTTGTGCAGTAGTGGCATCATAACTTTTCCCATGCATGACTCTGTGGTATACATCTTTCGGTCAAGAGCTCTCTGTCTCTCTCATAACCTCTTTTCATTTACCTAACCCTGCAGAACAACCATTTTCCATCCTCCTGACCCCCGACTCTAACCCTGAGCAATAATAACCCCGCCAAGCTCGCGGCACTTCTCCCAAAACTAGACGGAGAATTCATAACAAACAAAGAAGCCTTTAATTAATATTGGTTAAATATATAAATCTACGTCTGAAAGCAGAGCTGTGTTGTGGTTATGGTTGTCATTCCCTGCAAGCCTGACAATCCTCTCACTGTGTATTCCCCGGAGAGACCCACACAACACATACAGAGACGGAGATAGACCGCCTCCCGGACTGCTGAACAAGCCAACAACAAATAACAAGAGCAAAAATAAACCTTTTATTCCTCTGTTTGTCCCTCTCCTCTTATTCTCTCCCTCTCTCGCTGTAATAAAAGTGTTTACATGCCAGCGACCGACCTGCAGCTGTTTATCCTGATCGAGGTGAAAGCCGAAGATGTGGAACGTTGCTTGTTTACACATGCAGCTCTGACAGACCGTAACCTGTGTGATCCAATCTCACCTGTAGCCACACACACACACACACACGCACAAACTAACACAACACGAGCTCAAACCTGCTGTATACATAAGTCTCTCACACAAACACACGGACAGACAATGATTGAGCCCAAGATGGGCTGTTGTGACAGCTCGGTTATTAATTAGTGGCCAAAAACATGACACTTGAAAACACAGAGGTGAAGGATCTAACCAGATGTGAGTGCTGCTGTCAAATATTAGTGGCGATAGTAGTTGTAATATAGTGTGTACTCAGGATCAATACGTACACAAATAGGTAATGACAAATGTGTCCGTAGAAGCTGACTTATTTAGTCTTCTGATGGCTATTTAGTGTCACCCATCTTATTTACCCTTACAGGGTCACTTTACTCATCATTAACTTTTCTCAGCCCATAAAAAAGAGCTTAATGTCCACTGTGGCTGTGGAGGCTTCCTATAGTTTGAGACAATAACCCGGACAATGTCATCAAAGATAGCTTGGATTGTGGGATTGGGATCATGGGAAATGTATGATCCAGCATGTCTGAGCTTGACTCAGACCTGTGATTAAGATTCAATTTTTACTATTCTTTAAGTTTTAGTCAATCTTGAATTGTATTATTCGGAATACAACAATGTACCGCTATGTTTCTTTGTTTCTTTTATCCTCCCTCGGTGTTGTCTCTAGTTTCTTATGTCATTGGCATGCACATGCACTCCTCTTAAACCCTTTTCTTGGATTACATGGCCAAGAGGCCAGGGGCCGTGTTCACAAAGCTTCCTAGTATTAAGAGTTTCTCCTAGCGATGAAATTCCAAGAAAAAGTCTTCTTCTCTGAATTGTGACGTTTTCTTAGTATTTCTCCTTAAAGTTAAGACCAGGTCCTTGTAAAGATAAAAGTTCTTCACAGAGCATCTTAGACCTTAAAAGAAAAAAAACTGTCATGAGCAGGGAGGAGGACTTTTAAGAGGCTTAAGAGTTTCTTAATCAGAGGAAAAAATGGTGCAAACACACAGAGGTCGGAGAAATATTCTCCAAATACCGGATGAGAGTGGGTAAATGAAATGCCATAGATTAGATTTTGCAGGGATAATATTTGTGGTCGAACTAATTAGGGATATGTGCACCTTTCCCACCTAACACAATATCATTATGATGCCAGAAATAAAAACGATAACAACAATGAGATATTTGAAAAGCTGGAAAAATGCAACAGTGCAGCAGTGATAACTTGGGTCTGTCTCAACCTTCCATCAGCAGTGATCACACTAACACTGACAACACTTTCACAGTCAGCAGTTCATTACATTTCCACTCGGTGTCCACACCTTGCAGTCTCACAAAAGTGCGTGTCTGTGACAACCAATCACATCTGTTAAAAGCAAGCATCACACCTAGCAACGGGGTCAACCACACCTCCTCACTAAGGTAAAAGTTTCTGTCCCTTCCTTGTTCAGAGTTGCTCTGAGAACTTCCCGAAATCACTCCTAAGCTAGGCCTCCTTACTAAAAGTTTTTAGTAAGGAGGCCTATTTAGCTTTTCCGATTTTTCTGTCATAAGTTACAATGTCGGATGTTCATATGAAATGTGGCCAAAGTGTCAGATAATGAGGTAAACTTATGTAAGAGCAATCCCTGTGAAAACATCAGGCTTCACTATGCTCTGGATACTCTGTTTCCAATTTTTTTCAAGACAACCCAACATCAGCTTGTGACAGATTTCTTTATACGATTGTAGAAAACAAGTCTATTGCCAGTGATCAGCACCTCATTATAATTCTGGGTGTGTGTTACTTTTATATTTCAAGGACTTCTTTATTTGATCATCTGCTCCAGGAACACTACTGCAAGTGTTTATATTATGTAACCTACACTGCTACATGTAGCTACATGCTAACGTCGGCAAAACATGTAATCTTGGTTGCCATCATCGTTAGATGCTTTTATTGGTGTTTTTTCTACAGTAGAAAGTGCCGCGATACTGCAATGACAGTGCAGAGACACAGAGTTGGTGCCTGTGACTGCAGACCCAGAAGACCTAGAATCAGAGTAGGCTGGGCTTTTTTGGGAGGGGGGCCTACAGAGAAGGAGCTAAAATGGAGCCTTCTCAGACAGAGGGTGAATACAACTGTTCCAGCACAGACAGTATGAGGAAAATAGAGTGTTTTTTGAATGTTGCAGCATGTAAACACATTCAAGTAGAAATCCAAAATAGAACATTCACAGTAGAGTCCTTGTGACGGCCAAAGTTAGACAGTCTAGCACTGCATATCTTTGGGAGAAACATCACACTGTTGTACAGCAAACCAACGTCACCACAACCGATGGGGACAAATGCCAACAACAACATGTCATTCCTGTTCCAAACACAAGTGTGTATTGTCTCAGTGTTTATCAGTGGCTTAGTTTACTCGCAGAGTAACAAAATCTGATAACATCACACTCATTTGGCAGACATCTTGGTCCCAAAACAATTGCCCCCCCATGCACATACATCATGAGGAAACCGGATGTCACTGCACAAATTCTCACATGTGGGATTACAGTCTGTGCTGACAGTATTTATGTGTCTGCATGTGTCTGATGGGATGACACTGTAGGGAAGAGGACTAGTATGCAATTGATAGTCTTGCAACTTTTGTACTTTTATTTCCTTCCTCTCTTTTTCTTCTTTGTGTTTCAGCTATGAGTAATGCTTTCTCCATGTTTATCATTACATTACTGGCACCTTTAAGGCTACGTTCATTTACAAGCATATGTGGCCCTATACTGATTTTTGTTTTGCTGTCATGTGACACAGATCTGATTTTTTCCAATCAGATCTGGGGCATATGTGGTCTTAAATCCAATACATATCCAATCGCAGGCCGTGTGACAGTGCAGTGAGAACAGTCGTATTGGAATTCATTTGTGTTTTTCCCATACGGCCATGGCTTTTCTACGTCATACTTCAATGCACAGGCTCGAATCACTCATCATTCAGTGTCGAGGCAGTGTGTTGAAACTACTGAAGGCTTCTGTAGCCGTACTGCTGCTGCATTAGGCTGCCCCAGTTCCCAGCCAATAGAGCCTGACTGCCAGATGCTTTCTGACAGGGACAGCTTGCTTACATGCCATGACAGCATTGTCATGAGGTGCTGACAGAGATATTGAAATATGCCCCTGGACATCCTAAAGTTTTGGAGAAACTGTTCCTCTGTAAAACCCTCAATATTGCGGGCCCACTACTCCTGACTCCTCTTCCCAGTCTCACCCACACATTTCTCCACACAGAGCTACCTGCAGAATGCTAATAAAGCTAGTGGACCAAAAGTCAATTTGTACGACAGCCTGAAAACAAAAGCCCTTTGCTCCAAAGGGCTATTTCTCGGAAAATAGTTACACACATGGCTAATTATTATGCAGACTGATGTCACTGGACCTTCTTACTAGGGCGATTATTCAGGAGATGAAGCTTGCACCACTATGCCATTCTTTTTGTTTACCCAAAATGCCGATCTCGCAAATGTGATGATTATGTGACCTTGCGTGTTGTTACTGGTTGCATGTGAGATGTTCATACTGATGTCAGTTATGGGTCACTTCAAACATTAATATGAACTGTCTAGGCAGAAAGATTAGATCAGGGGAAACTGAGCATTAAGCACTGTAATATTAACGTAGCCCAAACAGCAGCCACACCTGTCTGATTAGGTGCTTGTGATGCATTCTGCTGGCATTTGTGAGCTCTAATCCACCTTATGAATCTTGACCAAGTCTGGATGTATCTCGATGCGAGACACTGATCATTGTCTGAATGAAGCAAGAGTAAATCACAAGACAATGAACCCTTAATTCACTGCCATTAAAAAGCACTTAACTCTCGGTTTCACCTCTGTTTATTTTAAATTAAGAGTTGATCGAAGATGCTTCACCTAACCTTTTGTTGGCAATGTAAATACATGCATACACATACACACACACGCACACACACACACACACAAAGTCAGACAGAGGGCGAGACAGACCACTGATTGCTGATGATAGTGTTTGTGTTCAGACTAATTTAGCTTCCTTTGTCAGATTGATTAGAGTCACTCACTGGCTTTGTTCCAATAACAACCAATCACAGACAATCTCACACTGTCCAGTCCCTCACCGAAAAGGTCTGTGTGTGTGCATGTGTGTGTGTGTGTGTGTGTGTGTGTGTGTGTGTGTGTATGGCATTGACAATCACCATCAGCGCAGGTATGTCCGGTCCAGCCTTCGGTACAGGTGCAACTGAAGCCCGTCGGGTCTTCCACACAAGTTGCTCCGTTCATGCACGGGGAGGACAAGCACGCATGCTCCACTGATGAAAGGGGAAAAAGACGTATCGTATGATCAGCTGAAGAATAAAGCTGCAATGTTCAGGTAAAGATTACTGTAGCATATATATTTTTGCCTATGTGCTGTTGTGTCTATTAGTTATAGTAGTTCTTTTTAATGTTGTACACATTTATCTAATAACTTCCCTCTTGTTTTCTCTGTCTATCTCTTACTTATATAGACAAACAACCTGGACTTACCAATGTCACAGTTGCGTCCTTTGAAACCTTCCTGGCACTCACAGTGGTACTCATTTGGCTCTGTGTTAGTGCAGGTCCCTCCGTTCTTACAGGGCTGGTGGGTGCCACAGTAGTTCAGATCTGAAGACGTTTAAAAAAAATGCTGATTAAAGTTTGCTTTGATATTTTAGTTCACAGCACAAAACAGCATAAAAATAAAAGGCAAAGAGAGCAAAAGATAAAGGAATGAGGATGCAGATAGATCCAGGTTCACTGGATCAGCAGCACACACACACACACACACACACACACACACACACACACACACACACACACACACACACACACAGGCTGAAGTGTATCCAGGTCGGCTCAGTGTGCTGACTGTGCAGGCCAGTAGCTGCAGGGCTTGTTGTCTCCAGTGTTAAGGCTGATTAAAGCTTTCTCTAATGATCTCCTCCGAGCTCACAGTCTCTTTGTCTCACCACAGCTCTTTACAGAACCTCTCTGAATACACAGAAACAGCTTAGGACCCCACCTAGCTGAGAGCGTCCAGCCCCGCTCACATTCACCTTACCCAAGGCTATCACCTTTCCTCTGCACAATACACCATCCCGTGGGCTCCCGGATCCCAGCTCCCACACTGAGACAGAGGTGGGAGGTGGGCTGGTATATTCTGGGATAATGTTGGAGGAACTTTGATACAGTGTGGTGGGAAAAGTTAAGGCATGGAGGGTGAAGCCCTGAAGGAGTTGTGAAGGTGTGTGAAGAATCAGGCCTCACAAACACACGTTTCTGTCTGAGTTCCTGAACATCATACAGTGCAACAAATGGCAAATGTCTTTCATCTTTACGCAGATGACACAGTTCTCTACTTTCTGAGCCTTGGTGTGGAAAACACTGTTTAAAATGCTAATGGTGAAATAAAACTCTGAGGAAAAATAAATACAGGTATGCCTTAGTATTTGGCTCAGTGATTGATTCATGTCTCTAGTCTAATTTATAGTGTATAGAGCAATTTGCAAATTGAATTTCCTTTGGGTTATAGAGTAAAAAAATTGGTTAAACACTGTTTTTTTGTGCCTGAGAGAAGAGCAACATCTACAATAAAAAAAACATGGTTATGTTTGGTGCTCATTTTGGCCAAATGACGGGGCTCAATAAGGGATTTCAAAGCAATCGTCTGCTCCAGTTATATAATGGGGATATTAAATTGAACCAAAGAAGGGAAACAGATCAACAACCACAAATTAAATACCCATGTTAGTACATCTGGGCTTTTTCCCCCTTCTTACTTCAAAAAATCCTTCAAACTCAAATTCAATTCTGACCTTTGTCACACAGCAGTCCTCCCCAGTTGACGTCACACACACACTGCCAGGGCTCGGTGCAGCTTCCGTACACACAGCCAGGGAACGTCACACACTGGTCACACAGAGGGCCCTTCCAGCCGTAATGACACCTGAAGAGGAAGACCAAAGAAACATCTGATCGTGTCATGTTTGTATATATTGATAATAACTATTGTGAATCTGTGCTTTTAGTCACTTAATGTTCATACTGAAGCAGTACAAGCTAATATAAATGCTGAAGGGAGAGATGCTTTTCTATTCTAATGACTATTGTGGAATTTAACCTGTTGATGCTTTGGAAATGTCAACTTATATTGACATTATATAACATAATGTTACTGTTTATATGCAGCTTTCAATGTACAACAAGACCATGCTTCTCTCTCCCACTAAATCAATTACCTGCTCCTTGCTAATTCAACCGCTGGCTCATAAATTGAACCACCTGCTCTGATCTATATAGGTGTGTCTAACCCTTTCTCCCCTGTTTGTCTCAGTTCTCACAACCCCTCCCCCCAAACCCCGTTCTTTTCTTCTCTTCCTTCTCAGCAGGGTGGCATGGTGGCTCAGCCACTAGCACTAGCACTCAGAACAAGAAAAACCTGGATATGAACTCGGGGGATGACGAAGCCTGAAGCCTGAATTGACTCAGTTCAACGCCTTTTCATTCCTCTCTTCAACCCCCTATCGTCCCATTGAACTGGACCCTCACCCCATGTTTCCCTCATCCTGTAGTCATTCCAAATAAAACTACATTCATAGCGTACATATCTTTGTTAGTGAAAATTTAGTAGTTTTATTTGTGAAGAGAGAGTCCATCGCTCCAGCGGAAATAGCCCATCAGTGCAAACCAGCAGCACCTGCTTGCTGCTGCAGGATTTCAGACACATGGGATTCAAACTCCAGACATGTAATCCAGGCTAAAGTTTAAAAACAACATCATATGAAAATTGCATTTGGCTACACTGGGAATACAGGGCATCATCTGTGAGGAAGAGAGCATCCAGAAAAGATTCAGGAAGTTACAGCAGGCTTCATAACCCTGTCAAAAGTTTAAAGTGGAAATAGACAAGTTTGCTTCTTTAAATTATCATTATGAAGAAGATGCTGATACATAATGTAAGGGCTTCACTATGCAACACTGTCTGCCACTGGGTACATGATCTCCTTACTACTCATCTTATTTTGATGCTTTGGTGTCAAAATATGGTGACCTTTGTGTTGTATCTTGATGCAGAAGGGGTCAGTGGTTAGGTTTAAGGGTCAAAACTACTTGGTTAAGATTAGAAAAAGACCAAACTAGACTTTGTGAGTTGACTCACGTGACAAACAACTGACTTTTAGTTTCACACGTGACATGAATACACGTCTTATGGGTCAAAGTCCTGTGCTTGTTGGACCAGTCCACCTGAACAGACTTTTTCTGACCACTAATTATGAAAGCTCAGTGCGTTTCATAGAGATGTTAACGGGTGACCCAAAGTTATAATAATGATGCTGGTGACACTGCCCAAGAGGTGTATTTTGATGCCCTGATCTCCCGAAACAAAAATAACGGCTCGATTTATGGCACAAAGGAAGTGCACGAACCACTGCGCAATCAAAACAGGAAGGGGATAGTGCTTTTGTTTTCCCTGGTGACTATTAGTAGCTATCCCCAAAAAGTTTCAGTGTAGGTTCATTGCAGTTACTGTCCCGGTAGTGGAAATGGTGGATGGTGAACAACTGAATTGTGAAAAGCAAAATGTAGTGTATCCTGAAGTTGTTGGTAGTTGCTAGGCTCTGAGGATATAGGAAAGCGATCCGGTTGTCTTTGTGAAAGCGGCACCAACAGTTATACACCATGGGAATGCTGGGTAAGGAAAAAAGTTGTCTGTTTCCACTTTAATATCATACACTACACTGTAGTGAACTTCTAAATTCTGTTATCATCTGTTAATGATTGAATCTGCTTCAGTTTGCATCCTATGTAATATAACTTTGTACATGATGACACTGATATCGAAATCATGTATCACCTGGTGTCTGCTTCATAAGTGCCGACGGTGGAAATAATTCAGTTATCAATTATTAAATTTAATTTTCTTAAGTGTTCCTCTGACTCACTTGCATTCTCCAGGTGCAGTACATGAGCCGTGGGCCTGATGACACCCCTGCCTGCATACCGCTGTGAACGAAACATGCACAAAAAAGAGAGCTATTAGATAAAATGGTAACCATGAAACAGAGATGACACTCAGTTGAGGGCATTAAAATCTGCCATCTACACTGAATACATCGAGATCACTGCCAGTCAACACAAAACAAGCCCAGATATCATCAGATATACAAAACACACACTTGACTGTGCAACATAACACAAGTGATGTAAAGGAGATGACACATGTGGGTAGGCTACTGTCACCTCAACGAAACCTCAGTTAACCCTGATATTTGTTTCTGAGATTATATACATCAGCAATCAGCTCAAAGTTTCCAGAAGGACACTGAAAACTCCCTGAACTTCATCATGGTCAGTAACCTGCAGGGGGTAACAGAGGGATCTTTGCTAATTTTTCACACTTCCTGCTTCTCTGCAGTCCAATCAGCAACCTCCTGAGGAGGAAGTCAGATTTAGTGAGACACGGGCGGGATGGGCAAGGCTGCAGGATGTCCGTAAACTAGCTGCGTGTCCTTCAGGGTTCCCATGGTTTCCACTCTGGTTTCCTCCATTCACTTTTACCAGTGCAACACGATGGCAGCGCTCCGAGGTCACGCAGCGAGGTCATCCAGCTGATGAGTCACAGACAGACGGAGTATGATCCCATACACACACACACACTGTCCACTGAAGCTCACTGACATGTATTAACTGATGTAAAGCAGCATGTCAGTGTGATGAGTCCTAAAGGTTATCGGAGGTGATATTATCAGGAGCAGATATGTATTTATTCTTCGTCTCTGTGAGAATTGTCCTGAGGTTTTCGGCTGCCAAAGGGGTTTTGGAAAGCGAGGACACTCATAAAGTTGATTCTAACTTGGTCACGTGGCTGTTTGAGAACTACAATCTGCTAAAAGTGTTAGTACATACGTGCGTTTGCGTGAATCTAAAACAACACATTGCCAATTAAAGCTGATGACAGCGGTTTGTGGGTCAAGTTTATTTTAACAGCCCTTAATCACAATAACAGTTTCGAAGTCCTTCGGAGGCCAACATTAGGAAGGAAAACAACCCTCATGGAAAAACCTTTTAAGAAACCGGGAAAGGATCACTATGGAGGAAACCCCCATCCAGGATTAATGGGAAAATAAACGGAAAGCAATAACATTTTCTATTCCTTCTCACCAGTAGTCTTAAATCATCCCGAGGAAAATATTCGCAGAATGTTCTCTAGTTTTTCCAAAATATGTGTGTGCCATTTTGAAGTGAATCAAAAAATATGAAGCTGAGCAGGTAAACAAGGATTGGATGAAGAACCATTACAGTGGTTTTACTTTTTTTCTTTTACTATAAATCACACACACTTTCAGACTGTGGAACAGGTCACTTTCCACTATCAGGTCCTCACCATATATGAAAACTTTTAAAATCTTGGGACCCACTTTTTTATTGCTTTAACTGCTTTTAATTATTAATATGATGACACAATTACTTCATTTTTGTCTGTGACACCTATTTATTTTCACTTTGGTATGTTTAATTGTTTTGCAAATTGATCTGTGAAGCACTTCAGTCAACATTTTATGTTTTTCCAATGTGCTAAAGTCTATTAAAAACCAAAATAAATTCTTTCTGAGTTTGTCACACAACACAAAAAATGTGTTTTTAACTACCCTGCCAAATTTGAATGATTAAAAAATCGTATTAAAATTAGGGTTCAAAATCATGACTAAAAAAAAGCAGTATTCTCTGCTCTTAAACGCTGGGGAGCTGGAGCTGAAACAAGATTGAGCCGCTAACACTGACACTCCTTAGCAGCTAACCCAGTAGCACACACAGTCTGTGGTAGACAGCACACACACTCTGAACAGAAGACTGAATGCAGCCCAACAGCGACAGACTCTCTTGGTTAGCTTAGCTTAGCACAAAGACTGGAAACAGGGGGAAAGAGCTAGCCTTGCTCTGTCCAAAGGTAACACCTCTATAGCTCTTTAGTTAATACTTTATATCACAGTTATGGTTTTATGGAGTTACACAGGACCTCTGGTGTCATGTACTCCAACAAACCACAGATTTAAGTTTCATCTCTCACCCTCTTTGCACTCTGGTCCTGTCCAGCCCTCCATGCAGACCTTGGAGCCGTTGGGGTCACAGTTGAAGTGACCAAAGAAGTCATCACGGGCCCTGCAGAACTTGTTGCAAAAAGGTCCGTAGTAGTTTGAATCACAGCGGAAGCGGAGTCGGTAATCCAGGCTGAGAGGCCGTCCGTGGTGACGGTATGACTGCCACTGTTCACCAGGGTTCAACATGGAGGAGAGGAGGACTCGCTCAATCAACTGACCTGAGGGAGGAGGGAAGAAGGCCAGGCTTTTTTTAGGGTTTCAAGTTTAAATTAGAGCACTTGACCCACCATTATTTGATATTTTAAGAGAAACAATGCTTAAACCTGAGGCAGAACCGGCTGCAAACACAACACTGACATCTCATCACCATTAAATTGTTATGGTGACCATGTTATGCACACATCCAGCAGACAAGGAGCAACATTAATTCATTTTGAGTTGAGTTTGAGCCACCTGGCAAAAGTAAGCGGAGGTAAATATCTGCCTGTTTAGTTGCCAAATGCTCCACTGTATTCACCAGCTACTCTCTAACTGTGTCTGTCTGCTGTTGAGCAGGTAGTGTACAGCAGGGTTTTAGAGCAAACAGCTGCCTGCTGTGGGAAACAACACTGATGAGAGTGTTGAGACTGATCATAAACAGTAAAGTTGAGGACAACAAAATCAAAACAATAAAGTGAAAGATGCTGAAATCCTAGGCAGCGCTAAGAGTCAGGTGGTTATTTCTCTGTAGGTTTGTCACCTCTAACGTTTCATACAGTGCAGCTTCAAACTTCTTTGCTGCAGCTCTTTTTTCAGATCACATGACAATCGAATGTCTATGATTTCCAAAATGTTTTCTTTCCCGTCCAGACATAATGTGAGCCTGGCATTTTGTGTTTGCAAAGTGAATATCTTTGGTACATCTGGCATCAGAGCACTTGACCAGATAGCAAGCAGGCTGAAAAACAGTGTCAGTATAAATACTGAGACAAGAGGCAGACTATAGGATCAGAGGAAAGGGGTCAGCAGTCTGCAGAGAAGAGAGAGGGCGGCCTGAACACCAGAGAGGACCAGACGAGGCCCGGGGCAGCGGCTGCTGCTGCTGACCCCCGGAGGGGATTTCCCAGAGGCGCTGTCATCACCAACTCAGTTATAATCTCCTCTGACAGGGTATTACCACACAAAGCACTGAGAATATGTGTGTGCGTGGGTATATCTGTGTGTCTCAATGTATGCATGAGTGTTTAACTAAGAGATGTTGGTGAGGATAAAGGGAAAGATGTAAGATAGAAAGGGTTGTTGGAAGTAAGTCAGCAATGAAGAGAGGGAGGGTGTACAGTGTGTGTGTATGTGTGTGTGTATGTGTGTGTGTGTGTGTGTGTGTGTGTGTGTGTGTGTGTGTGTGTGTGTGTGTGAGACAGACAGAGGCAAACACAGCCAAAGAGGAAGGGAGGCAGCTATTAGCGCACACAGATAGCAAACCGCCTGATGGAGAGATGAGATCACCATGGTTTGACACAAAGGAATGAAAACAGAGGCACATATTGGCCAGTGTGTGTGCGTGTATGTGTGTGTCTGCCCAGTGTGTGTGCGCATTAGTGTGCGTTTAAGAGAGTGAAAGAGGAATTGGACCAGAGCGGACGCTGAGCACCCTGTTAGCCCGTCCGTTGCCTTGTTCCTCCACCGGCCTCCACCTGTTGTCTCATTACACTACTGCAGCACTTTGTGGGTTTTTCATTATTTTATGGCATGTCAAAGGGCTAATTTCATCTTCACCATTTTCCTGCCAGAAAAGAAGAACAGCAGACATGAGGAGAGAAGAAGGAGAAGAAGAAAATAACCACATTATCAGCCGGCACAGCAGGGAAGGTGTACAACAGAGTGTGATTTCCCCTCTAATGTGATTAGATGAGATGGCACAATAACAAGTGAGCACAAGTAAAGAGAAAGACGGAGAAAACAAGAAAGAGAGAAGTTCAAATATTAGATGACAAACACCTAGCAGCACCAAGAATCCCTAAGCTGCTTTTGAAATGGCACCACACAGAAAAGCAAACAGAATATAAGCATTGGACACACAGGGATTGTGTCTGCAGGTAGCAAGAACACTTAAATCACTTTCTCTGGCCTCCGGTGATTGTCCCCCACTGCCTGCTGCTAGCTGTGAAGTGCCTGCCCTGGGCTGTGGCTGAGAAAACACCGCAGGAGAGAAAACGCCTCCTTTTGACTTGCTATTCCACATCATCAGAACCGACAAATCAATACAGCAGACCTAAGGAACCCAATAGATCAGGTGGAGGGTGTCCAATGTTTGATTTATGTGGATAATTCTCGAGCAGTCTTGTTTTTGTGTTTTGATTCCCATGCAGGATGTCCTGGTGAAATGATTCTCATCTGGATGAAAGCAATAAGTCTAAACATGTGTCTTTAATTTAAGAGACAAGCTGGTCTCGATTATGATGCTTCTTATATTGAATTTCACTTTCTCTCCAGCAGGGGTGGCAATTTTGGGGCTGTGAGTGCTACGTCAATACAGCTGAATCACGGTGGAGCACAGCAGCAAATCTGCACTCACAATGACCCAATAAATATTTAAACGGAAGGAAGAACATACAGAAAATTAAAGTGCTGGCATTTTAAAATAATTCTGGTTTATAACAACACTGTACCGGCAAAATTAAAAGTAACCTGTGTGAAGTTTTTGACCACTGGTGGCACTAGAGAGCAATGACTGTATCTTGCGCGCACACTAAGCAGTAACCTCCGAGGCTGCAGTTCATCAAACAGCTGCTTGAGGCTGGCTCCAAAACAGGGTAAATCACCATAGACATACATATTAAAAGGCTCAACTGTAACAGCAGAAATACAGGGGTGTACAGGGGCGAATTTTTATATAAGTCATCCATTTACATTTTATCAAGGCTCAAAGCTACGCATATTCAAGGGCAGGGCCACTTGAGTGACAGTCTGCAAGGTGTTGCTGCATCCACCCCTCACTCCACCACAGCTCCTCTCGTCCAAATATGGTCCTGTCTGGCTCCAAAAAAACAAGATGGCGACAGCCAAAATGTCAAACTCGAGGCTTCAGAATGGGAGTCCACAAACCAATGGTTGACATCACAGAAGCTACATTCATTAGTTATACAGTCTATGGCACACACGCATGGACGGGCATCCTTGCACATGGCAATAATGATTTATTGTTAGTGCACTTATCAACAGCTGGTGGTGTCAATGTGCAGAGAAATGTAGCAATGTGCAAAAAATTTACAAAAGAAGAAGACTTCTAACAATGTAGGTTTCAAATTCTTCAAAAAATCTGCTCCGCAAATATTCTATGATGAAGAGAGTCCACCCAATGCACTCTGATGATAAATAACAAGAAAAGAAAACCTATAAGAAAACTCTCCATGGTACTTTTAAATACTGAGATCTGGGAATGTGGTGACAAAAATACAAGCGAACATATAAACTGAGGGGGGCCAATTTGCCACACGCAAGCTGCAATTTGCGACATGAATTATTTCCTCTTGCTCGTTTTGACATTTCACTACTCAACACATCACAAGGTGTTTTTGCCACTTTGTCTCATCTTTAAGTAACTTATTTTGTCCTCCCCATTTACATAAATGAGGGTAAATAACACCTCTCTGTATAATGCAATATAGTTCACCAGCACCACAAAGTACACAACAAATCTCCCAAATGGATTATGAATTTCAGAAACAATTTCTAGAAACAGTTTCAACAAAAACTGATCATTACAACCTCTGTGAAGGAAGATTTGGCGCAGGACTGCTCTATTATACCCTTTTCCCACCCATATTATCATGGGTATGCAGGTTTTTAAGTAGGCGATAGACTCCTTTCCCATTGCCAGTATACCAGAGCACCATACACTGCTTTTTTTAACTGGTGTCACGTTCATTGTCATGGACATGCCGGAAAATGGCATTTCATGGAGGTCAGTAAAAAGGTTACATACTGTAGTTTACTTCTTTTTTACATCTGCTATTTATTCTGTCTCTCAAATTCAGTATCAACTAAATTTTGAACAATGTTCGAGTGCTGCTTGGATTGAGACAAATCTTGTTTTGGGGCAGTGCGTCATTGCATCACGTCAGCAAAGGGATAAAATTACTATGTCCACCCAGGAGGTTATATCTTTATCACTATTGATCAAAGCTGATCAGAGCTGGAGTCAAAAAATACCCATGACCCTGCAGAGAAATTTGTTTCAGGAATGAATGCTGATTGTAATCTCTCCCACTATGCACAAAAGCCAGATGTTAGAGGGTTTTTTATGCAGGGGGAAAGGGATATAGACTTCATTGTTTTAGCAAGGTGTACCTAATAAACCTGCAAATTACTGTACATACAAATACACTGTACACTCTATTGTTTTTGTGAACTGGGTCTCAGGTTAGCCAAACTTTTATGAAAGAAAAAGAAAAAGTGATTTTATTGAACATGGCTCAACTTACCTACTTACAGTGACCCACTTATTGTAGCTTTGTGCGCACACTCTTCCTGTACAATGGGAGATTATTACCAACATTTCAGGAACACCCACTTTCTGTTGTACTTCCAAATAAAGGGGTTTAGATAATCTGGTTCACCTGTTTACAATCTCTCTGACTGCTTGCATATCTGTTTTCCAAGATCTAGTAATTTCTTTGGTGAGTAAGATACCATCATAACCAATAAAAACGAGGACCAAAAATATGGAAGTTGCAATAAGCTAACCTTTAACAGACAAAGTACGCCCCACACATTAACACCAACTACATGTTATTAAAACACAACTCAGTGAAGGTCGTACTGTCGGTGCTCAAAGGACATCATATTTTCACACTATTTCCATAGACTGTATCAGAAGGTAGCGTCTTGCACAGTAATCCTTTCTGATTAGTAGCAGGGCCTGATAAGTCCATTCAGACTGCTACAGGACGACAGTGTTTGGGCTGAGCTAAGCTGCCGGCCTAGTGAACGGCTTTAGACCCGGTGTAAAGGCTGTCAGGAGCTCAGGTGGAAATGGCAGATAATGCAAACAAGATGTAAGAGCGGCGGTGCTGGAGGGCAGAGGGAAGGAGAGATGGAAGAGGACGGGGAGACAAACACAGAGAAGAGGGAAGGACGGTTCCCAGTTTCTCATTATCGCTGCCATCTTTTGGATAAGACTGGGATCCATCCACTGGCTGAGAGGGAGGTAGAGGACGATGGGATGAAAGAGAGGACTGTGGCATGACAGGAATGAGGAAGGCACAGGAACATCTGTCTCCATCTGTGTGTGTGTGTGTGTGTGTGTGTGTGTGTGTTTTGCTTTTTATAGCATGCAGCTCACATTCCCTGTCATGGAGCTTTTCCTGATTATGGGGAGAAACAACAAGAAGACAAGCAGGAAATTAAAGGGTCTGGATAAAAGACCTTCGAGGATATTTTCACATTGTTTCACCATGTTGAACCACTTGTAAACAAGCTCTTGTGAATTGTTTGCCTCGATGGTCATGTTGCTTGTTGAAAACTAAACTTGCAGATAAAATAGATGTGTGGGAGAATACATCCCTACAAAGCCAAAACACAGCAACTATATATTTAGTCAAAACTGGGTTAAGACCAGCATCTGACTTTTTGACGTCTGTTTAAGAGTTTACAGTTTACATCCATGTCTGTTTGGACTCATAAAACATATGTAGTGAAGACCTTGAAGGAATCTAATCAATTGTATTGAGTGTATTTTTTGTCCAAACATGCTTCACAAACATCTTCAACCCAGCAGCACAGAAGATCTACACAATCACCACATTTTCGAGGTAGACGCCCAAGTTTAGGGTCATCAATTCAGTATCCGACCAAAGTCTTGAATTATGGGCTCACAGTGACCTTTTACCACAATCTTATCAGTTCATCCTTGTTTGTACTAAATGTAAAGAAATTCCCTCGAGGCGCTCTTGAGAAATTGCTTTCACGAGAATGGGACAGACAACCCAAAAACACAAAACAACACAAAACAACACATAACAACACACGTTAATGCAACACATAAGAACAAGAGATGAGAATGGGACTGACGATAGACAACTCAAAAACATAATGCCTCCCTTTGGCCACAGCTTTTGCCAGTGTGGAGGCATTAAAAAAGGCTTTACCTAAGGCTAGCTCTGACTGCGTTCTGAGTAGTTTAAAGGTAGAAAGATGCATAAAGCTGTAGTCAGAGGTTTTGTGTTTTCAGGTTGTCTGTCCCATTCTTGTGAATGTGACATCTCAGAACACCTTGAGGGAAATTCTTTAAATTTGGCACAAACATGGATGAATTGGTTTGATTCTAATGGTCAGAGTTTAAAGGTCAACTTCACTGTGACATCACAAAGTTCTGCAAAAATTGAGCATGACGTTAGTTCAGGCAGGACACGATGTCAAGCTCAGCTCACATCGCAGCTACATCAGCTAATCTCAAACAGCCCAATCAGCTGATGGAGCAGCTGATGGATTCATTTCTATGCAACCAACTGGGGAATCTCATTCAGGCCACCCTATTTAAACTGCTCTGGCCTGCCTACTGTTGCTGCTTCCTCTGCAAACTGCTTTGCAACCCGCCTCCACCCCATGCTGTGTCTAACTTATCAGTGTCATTTCTGTTTGTCACTGATGCTGCTCTGTTCTGTTCCTGGGGTCTGCTCCTCTTTCTGCCTTTGGCTTTCCATGTAGGTGCATGGAAGGGCAGGGAGGTTTGCTTCTCTCTGCCTAAAGGCTTTGCAAGTAGGTAAGACTTGCGTGGAAGAGGCTTTATGCATAGGCCCTAGGAAAGGCAGAAGGGCCCCAGAACAGAGCCATACCGCCAAATATAATACTGCAAATGGAAATTAAGTTTTCTATGACTAAAGTGTTCCTGACTGAAACACTTTCCTGGCCATTACTCAGCACCATATCTCAGGAACAGAAGGGCAGACTTTTGGCCAGATACTGAATGTGTGACACTGATGTTGAAAATGTGCTGATTGTAAAGATGGTGTGCAGCTGGTTTGAAGACGTGTGTGATGCATCCACATTTTAGAATTTGTAGCTTTTCTGGTGCAACATCAATATTTGAAGCATTGTCTGTTGTCATGGCTGCATATAAGTCATGGATGTAGCCTTGACTGGTTCAGCTGTAATTCTATTTTTTTTTCTATGTTTTTTTTTTTACCTGTTTTCCGTAATTGAAAGATGATTGATGCTCCAACATCTTTGCAGTAATCCAATTATAATAAGAGAAAAAGTAATCCCTACAAGCCATGCTTAAAGCTAAGTAGCTTAGCTTAGATGCTCTTTAGATCAACCAAACATAGATGGCAGTATCTAATTTCATCTGATGCAAAGGCGGGGAGTATAATCATTCAGAAAAAGCATGAAATTAAGGTTTTGCAATTTATAGGCTGTAACTGATACACATTTCGGCTCAGTAGCCTTCGAACGTTAAAGCAAGCTGCTTATGTCTGAGGAGGAGGAGAATCATACACATTCAAAACATCAGCACGAGTTGAAAGGCAGACACACACAAACACACACATTGCAGCTTTACCTGATTCTGCCGTGTCATTGTCGTAGTCCAGAGCCTCCAACACCAGAGAGAAGGACTTCTGTGAAGAAATCATAGAGAAAACATCTGTTTAATATGTGCCATAAATAAACATATTTGAGTTTTATGTCAAATTGAATCACAGTTCTCTCGTTGTGATTCAATTTGGTTTGTTGTTGAAGCCCAAAGAGAAATGTGAATCCTAAAGACAAGCTGTGTTTTTGACCTGTACATAGATGAGGCTTTTTCTGATTAGCAAATATCAGCGTTCCATCATATGAGTGTAGGTTAGTGATACGGATATTTGAGTGCCTCGGGCATCTATTACAGTTAGTGGGTTACAATATGCAGGGTTACTGTGTGGCACTGGCAGAGTTTTCTTTTAAGTGAAAATATATATGACCTCTGTAACTAATTAAAGCCTGTATACATAATGCATACTGTCCTTAATACATAATGCAATAGGTGCATTCAAATAAATCATTGCAAATCAGTGGTGGAAGAAGCACTACTATCTTTTACTTAAGTAAAAAAAGCAAATCCCACCACATGAAATTACTGAATTGCAAGTAAAAGTCACAACACAATTATTCTTATGTAAAAATACACATGTATGATAAACTTATATTATAAAAGTATTATATTACTGATGCATTAATGTGTGAGCAGCATTTTAATATTGTCAGGCAGGCTGTTCTCGTGCACTATTCATATGTATACCTATAAAAAGTAATGCACCAGAGTCCATATTACATATAACCCATGTAATCATGAGCCATAAATATCATACAGTCCGCTGTATGAGGATATGTAGTGCTAAGATAGAGCTTTATATACCCCTGGGTGGTTTTATCTCACCAAATGAATCACATTTTACAAAGTGTTAATATGCTTTGCACATAAAATCTTCATCTCAAAGGTAGTAACCACAGTACAGCAATGAAATGAAGTGTAGTAGAAATATAAAATAGCTTAAATGGGAATACTTAAGTAGAGGACAAGTAGGTCAAAACTGTACTTGAGTGCAGCACTTGAGTAAATGTTCCTAGGTCAATCCCACCGCTGTGGAAAGTGTGTGTATGTTTCGATAGTTGCCCTAAGCCTTAAAAAAAGCAGAAATGATTCACTGCCTGAACAAGCCGAGGCTGCAGTTGGGTGCTGATTCAAAGAAACCTCGACCTGCAGCCATGCAGAGAGAGACAGGCCGTTAGATCAGTGTGGTGAGGAAGGACATCCAAAAAAACTCCTGTTCAATTTAATGAACACACTCTTGGAGCAGGTGTGGTGCTTTATGGAGCTCTTCTTATACTCTGTACCGCAGCATGCAGGTTAATCCTAGATAGACGGGGGCAGGTCGTAGCATTTACAGTCAATGTGACAAAATCTGAATATTTATTAAAATTCACAGCCTTATCTATTGGTACAGTCCAACATTCTGCAGTACACAAGCAGAGGACTCGGGCACAAGCTGGACGTCTTCAAATGATGACTTTGAGCTTACAGAGATATCACACTCTGGAGAGATAACAGAGGACAGGTGTTTTTTCTTCTGCCTTTCTTTTTTCTGATGCATTCGTTCATCTTATAGACCAGCGATGAATAATTCAGACCGACACTTTCCCTTACAACTCTCTGTCTCCATCCATCCATTCCTCCTTCTGTGTAACGCACCAGTGCCTGCCATGCAAATCGCTTCACCATGTGCATTGTGGGTAAGGTTTCTCCTAAAGGGCTACATGGATGTGTAGTCACGTCTTTGCTGCGAGAGCGTATTCTGCCAGAGGGGGGATGAGTGGGAGGAGAGGAAGCTGAGGGAGGGAGATACAGATACTGTAGGAGAGCAGGTGATGGGCACTGGAGGTAAGTGAGGGATTTGGAGGCAGGTTGAGGGCAGGAGGTCGCCGACAATGCTACTGCTAGCTGGAGGCAAAAAGAGGCGACACACCAGAAGGAGAGAAGATGAAAGGTAGCAGTGAAGGTGCAAAATGTTAGGGGAGAGAAAATTGGTGGTGCGGAAAACACTGAGTCAGGGATTTGCTTCAAGTGGAGGTACATCCAAGTATATCTGTATGCAGTGGACGAGGAGATGAGGTGAGCAGACTGATTGTACAGAGAGAGAAAAGGGGTATAAAGGATAATTATGTGGGACGGATGTAAAGAAAAAGGGCAAAGAAAGGTAAAGGAGAAATGCAACTGTGGCAGCTGTGGTGGAGTAACGATTTGTGGGACTCCTGGAGTTTTCAGTCAGATTTCCAGATATGTGATGGAGAACAAAGAGGTCAGAGGGAGGCGGAAAAAACTGGAGATGAGATAAAAGAGAGAGCACAAAAGAAAAGAGAGGTGATAAGATAAGAAAAAGAATATAGACAGGGAAGTGGAAGAACACCCACACACACAGTTCGAAGTCATGGAGCTAATGAGATGTGCCGGGTTCATTAAGGCCGGCAGATAGCAGGTAGCCCACAGATGGACCAGCTGGAGTCATTAAGCTTCGGCTTAAAATTCTCACCTGCAGTAATGTTTAGTATTCATGGTTTACATTTTTATACTGCGAGATCCTGCAGTCGATTATAGTCACATTAGATGTATACAGAGTTTATGAAGTATTCAGATACTTTACTCAAGTATACCTTATTAGAAATAGAAGTACTTGTTCGGCAGTAAAATGGCCCCTGTGCATATACATGTATATCATTAATGATGATGTAACAATGTGTAAGCAGTATTTTACTGTTGTATTTTATTCAAGTTGGAGCTCATTTTATCACTGTATTTAATGTCAGTTATTTAATCCCTCCCCTGGCTCATGAGATAAATCTGAGAGGTTGTGAGATTATTAATGAGGAAAGGGAAAAAAACTTAAATCTGCTCAAGAACTTTGTATTAAATTTTCGTACTTTAATCTTTATAATTTTACCTCTTTGGGTGTCAAACAATTATCAAATAAAACAACAGGGAATGTTTAGAGGAAAAATATCTCTTCTAACTACTATTAACTACTATTATAGGCTTCAGTATAAGTGTATGCTATATTTACAACACTTTCACTGCTTCACTTTGCCATCAGACAGCTGTTTCTGACGGGGAACTGAAGCTGTTATCTCAAAGCCACCAGACTCCACTGACAAACCAGCAATTTTAGGACATGTAAGTTGCTGGTCTACTGCTGCCTCCATCAGTTAGTGTGTAAGTTTAAGTGGAGAACATTTTCCAAATGTGGCCTACACTTAAACTGATACTGATTTCTTTTAGGTGGCTAACATACATCTTGCTGCAGCCCCTGTCCACAGCAGTACATTGTTCAGCTTCCATGCTGGTAGATTTGGTTTATCAAAGACGCTAGCAAAGCAACACAGTATATAAAATAAGCACAGCAGAAACGTCAAATAGGTCAGACCTCTGTCTTTAACTATATATCTTTAAACGTTACAGTTTCGGCTGATTCTGATTGGTTACAGCATTCTATGGTCTGTTATTTCTGAGGAACAGACTGCTGGTATGGACACAGTTCTCAAGTCAATTTAAGTCAAAATTTATTTATATAGCACATTTAAAAACAACCTCGGTTGACCAAAGTGCTGTACAGTTCATCCAAAGAGTGAATGAATAGCAAAAACTACAAAAAATTATCAATAAGATCAACAATAGGTTTAGACAATAAAACATCAACACTAGAGTACCGGTAAAATACAAATAAAAGCTGTAAAAGACATGTCTGTCTCAACTAGAGGTGAAAGCAAGCAAAAAGAGGTAGGTTTTTAAAAGAGATTTAAAGTGTTCTGATCATACATGCTTTGAGGAGGCAATAAAATCTTTTCAAATCCATATTTTATGTCACATGATTGATTTCTTTAGTAAATAGCGTTGTAATAAGTGGGACAGTGTACTACTCTGCTTCACGTTGGGGTCTTAGATCACGTGTCAGGGTTTATTTCACAGTAATTACCTGCTCACTGTACATTATCTATGGTCTGACTGACTGCTACAATTCTGATTGGCTGCAGGGTGTCCCTTAAAATAATATAATGGACACCTGTTGAGCAGTTTCGGTGAAACAGATTGTTCATTGTTCTAATTTAATGTACTAGCTACATAATACTAGTATCAGCCTGTATCTAATATGAGTAACTTAGCAACCAGGACGCTGTCAAAGCCTCCGTTTACAATTATTTTCCACCACTGGAAAAACATCACAGGATGGAGAGAGTAACACACAAGGTACAAGAAGTGCACTGGCCCTCTAAACTTACTGATACTTCACGTCCCATTCGCCATTCAACTCGCTACCTCAGGCTGCAGCTGACAGCAACATAGGCTACTGTTTGTTTGTGAAAATCTTGATTTGATTTGGAGACAATGACATGGCTGGAAAGTTAGCTGGTCTTATTGTTAAACATACTGTCAAATAAGATTTATTGTCTGTCCACTGTACGCAACATTGACTCTAAATCTTGCTGGCATAACAGCTTTCTGGTTCATAGCTGAGCCAAAGGTTTCTATGAGCTGAGCGGACTTGAAATATCTCCTGTTTCAGGTCTTATCTAAGGTCATTCCTATTTACTGGAGCAGTGAACAATGAGATGAGGGGCTAAAGAGGTCTGGTAAACACTTCTTTCTAACTTCACACTTCAGCCTTTAATTTTCATTTTCAAACTTATAGTTTTCAACTCGACATGTTGATTTTTGAGGTCAGACTGGTTGTGATGAGCTGTCCACTACAACAAAATGCACACACAACATTACCTCACTGTTGGCTCGCTAGCAAACCTCTTAGCCTTCCCTCCCTCTTCCCTCACCCTATATGCACCTCTCCCTCCTCCAGCCCGCACCTCCTGCCAACTGTTACAGCAGGTTAAGACCTGTGGGAAGTCCAGCGCCTTTTTCTTTTCTTTTGTTCTCTCCTATTCCTTCCCCCTCACCGCCTCACCTCCTCACTGACATGTGCACATGGCCAGGTGAGTTATGATACTGTCATTGATACAGGAAGGGTGTATCTGCAGTAAGCCCCGTTGCCAAGGTTGGGGGTCCTGTGCGGCAGCCAGGAGGGGTCAAACTAACCAT